GCATCTGATGGCTGTTTTAGTTTGAATTTTTCTGAGATGAAATACCACATTGAGGGCCTTATCGTGTCCTTATTTCCTCTGACTGCCTCCCTTGGTGAAGTGTTTGTAAATACCTTTCAGCCTGCTTGTTGTCTCCCATTGAGTTTTAAAGTTCTTTGTATTTAACATTAGGTGACAGTACTCCTCCACCAGACATCTCACCCCTGCCCAAGTTTGTAACTTGTTTCTTGGCTTTCTCCATAGTATTATTCTCTTCAGTAGAACAAATTCTAAAAATGTTTAATGGCACACATCTTCTCCGTTATTTCTTTCATAAACCATACCTTTGGTGCTGTATTTAAATATCACCAAATCTCAAGGCCATCTATGTTTCCTTCCATGTCATTTTCTAGGAGTTTTATATATTGTTTTACATTGAAATCTGTGATCATTTGAGTAAACTTTTGTGAGCGGTATATGGTTTGTGTCTAGATATTTTTCTTCATTTGGCTGTTGATGATTACAGCTCCATTTGTTTAAACTGCCCTTTCTTCATTGATCCCATTATGCAAGTTTACTGTATTTTGGGGGTCTGTTTCTGGGCTCTCCAGTGTGCTACATTGTTTACTCTTTTCCCAGTAAATACAGCCTCTGTTGTGAACACCTTAATGTTACTCTAAGTCACAAAGTTGTGCAGTATTGTTCCTCTGAAGTTGACCTCCTTCAAAGCTATGCTGCATTTTCAGAGTCTTTTGTGTCTCTAATCCCCTGTTAACATCCATAAAATAGCATGCCCAGGGCTTAATTGTGATTGTATTGAATACCTAGGTATTAATGACACCAACTAACATCATATTTATTCTTCCTGTCCATGGACAAACATAGCAATCCCCTGCATTTATTTAGCTCTTCTCAATTTCTTTTATTGGAGTTGTATAATTTTCTTATATAGTCTTGTTTGTACTGTATTGGACCATATAACCATTTCATTTTGAGGGTACCCTTGGTGGTTATGTTTTAAATTCTACTTGTTCATTTTTGCTATTTGGGCAAGTTATTGGCTTGTCGCCTTGGCAAAATTGGCTACCAGTATTGAGAGTTGTTACTTTGCTTCCACTGTAACTTATTTTAGATTTTTTACACAGGTGATCACATCATCTGTGATCAAAGATAAGTTTCTTTCTTCCTGTATTAAAACCCATTCAGGCTGTTTTTTGCAAACATTAACTAGATAGTTTATACACAAAAGTATTTACTTCTCGAATTTCTGGAGTATGGAAAAATCTAAGGTACAAGCAAGTTTGGTGTCTGGCTCACAAGTGGCAAATTTTTCTCTGTGTCCTCCTCTGGCACAAGACAAAGTATCTCTCTATTTTTTTTTTTTTTTTTTTGTAAAAGCAGCAATTTCACTGACAACACTATGCCCTGGTGACCAAGCTACCTGATGAAGAGGCCATCTCCTATTCCCAGACTTACAAGGGAGCTTGTACTTTCTTACTGTTAAGGATGCTTAGTTTAGGTTTCATGCAGTCCTTATTAAAAAGAAATTTTCTTATAGTTTTCTTACTTGTCTTTTTGTAATTACAGCACTGTTAAGCTGAGAATTAATTCCTCTCATTCCATGTTCTGGAAGCAATTCTCCAATATTGGTATTTCTGCCTTAATTGTTTGATAACATCTACTGTTGATCCTACCAGGGCTTACTCCTGCTTTTTATTACTCTTTTAAGACACACATATACAAGTGTGTGTGTGTGTGTGTGTGTGTGTGTGTGTGTGTGTAGGATTTTGCACATGAGTGCGAAGTGCCTGTAAAGACCTGAAGAGGGCATCAGATTCCCTGGAGCTGGAGCTGAAGGTAGCTGTGAGCAACTGGATGTCGATGCTAAGTACTTTGCAAGAGCAGTAGGAACCACTTGACCATCTCTCCTGCATTTTAATCAACATTTCAGGCACTTCATGACATGCCCCTTTGTCAGAGCTTCATACTGCTTTCCTTCTTTATTTCTTCTGTTACATTGATACTATTGTTCATGCTGTTCTGCATTCTCCTCTAGAAAACTGTTCTCTCTTTTTCCCTCTCCTCTGATTCTTCTGCTATGCTTTTCTAAGCTTGACTTTCATGCCTGATTTATTCAGGGTTCTCTTCAGAGACAGAAACAAAAGAAGAGATATATGTATGTGTGTATATCAGAATGATATTTAATGCTCAGAATGAGCATTAAAACAGTAACAATGGCCAAACAACACCCATGTGGAGAACCCTATAGTTATTTAATCCTTGAGGCTGAATGCATCGGTAGTTGGAATTGTCCTGGAATAACTATCTCTCATTGGGGACCACAACCAGTCAGCACTCAGTCCACAAGGTGCAGTGCTTCAGTATCCATAGTCTAGTTCCAAAGTACAGGAAGCTCCTGGATAGCTGCTGGTCCTTATCCCAGGGTGAAAGCTTGGGAACGCTGGTTCTATGGTCAGTGAAGGAGTCAGCAGCAATGGGGCAAAGCGACTTGGGAAGGCCAAGCCAGAAAAGTGCAAGAACAACCTTCTGTCTGAAATATCACTTCTTACCTGGGCTCCTACCAGAAGGTGCCTCCCACAGTGAGGGTGAGTTTTCCTGATTTATGAATCAGGGAAATGCTTCAGGGGAGGCTCCCTACTTGGGTAATTCTAATTTGTAGCAAGTTGTCATTAAAACCAAATTTAATTGGGAGGGTTTTGTGGTGATGAGGTCCAAGGAATGCTGCAAAGATCATACCATGTAATGGATCTCTTAAAAGAGATTTTTGGGGGGCATATAGGGTATACGAAAGGCTGCCTCTGAGTGAGAATGGAAAAGAAAAGTACTCAACTCATGGCGGCAATGGAAATAAATTTTTTACATTTGGTGGCTGGTGATGATGTGACTGCTGGTGCTGAGTCCCTGGAGGCAGGCTGGGGAAGCACCTGGTTCTGGAATGTGGGTGGTTCTTGGTTTACCGACAATAATAATAATGCCATCTTGATCCATATTGGTATATGAAAAACACGAGGCTCAGAAAAGTTAAGAAATGCCCCCAACTCTTTGAATTAAGCTGATCTAAGGCTGTGGTGAGATAAGATGGCTAGCTACAGTCCACAGAAGTTCCAGAACTTCTGAAGAGCATGTGGGCATCTATGTGTACACCATGTGGTTTGAATGAAATATTTGCCATAGGCTCAGGTATTTGAACACTTGGCCCCAGTTGATGGCGCTGTTTGGAGAGGTAATGAGTAGAGTGGCCTTGCTGAAGGACATACTTTACTGGCAGAAGGCTTTTAGTTTTCACAGTCTCACCCCATTTGTCATTCACTTAGCTTCCTGTTGAGATGTGAGCTCTAAGCTTCCTGCTCCTGCCACCATGCTGACGCTTGCTTGCTTTTACTCTCCACACCATGATGAACTCTTATCTTCTGGTACTATAAGCCAAAATATACTCTTCCTTCCATTAACTGTTTTGTTAATGTTGTTTTATCACAGCAATGGAACAGAAAAGTAACTAATGTGAGAGTGTATTACACATAGACATTGGAGTCATTTAAACACCTTATGTTTAGTATTGTCTTGTAATAGTTTTAGGTTTTAGAGGAAAGTCGCTTACTTCAGGACAACTAGATGGAGTTTTGAGTTTTCATAATCTACAAGATATTTTATTATGTACTTATTGCTGTGAACAAATGAATACCTGGCCACAAGCCACTTAAAGAGAGTAAGGGTTTGTATGTATGTGCATACATTTGTGTATGTACGTATATATTTATGTGAATGCATGCAGAGACTAAACATCATCTTTGAGAGTTGCCACGAACCTTGTTTTGTTGTTGTTTTATTTTCTAAATTTACCTTTTAAGAATTGTGTTTGTGTCTGTGTATACTCATAGATGCTGGACAAGGGTATTGGATTTTCTGGAGCTGGAGTTATGGGTTGTCATGAGATGCAAGACATGGGATTTTGAAACTGAACTCAAATCCTCTGTAAGATCAACAAGTATTGTTAGCCACTGAGAGATCTTTTTAGTCCCACCCCCCCCACCCCCAAATCTTGTTTTACCAGAGTCTCTCACTGGGATTAGGGTTTTCCCAATTAGTCTAGGCTGGCTGGCTCACAAGCCACCCTCTGCCTCTTGAGCACTAGAATTACCAGCAATCACCAGGACACCCCGTGCTTTCATTCTGCTTTACTGAGACTGGGTCTCAATATGTATCCCTGGCTTCAAACTCAGGGAGATCTTCGTGCCTTTGCCTCCCTGGTGCAGGAATTAAAGGTGTTGATCTCTGGCTTTATACCCAGCATTTTACATGTGTCCTATGGATTGAATTCAGGTCCTCATGCTTGTGAGCACTTTACTGACTGAGCTACCACCCCAGCCTGGAGAAGGATTTTTTGACCTTTGTTTTTGATTCACAGTTGTAAGAGGTATCTACTCATCATAACAGGAAAGGCATGGTAGCAACTCCATAGTGGCCAAATGAAGAGGCATCCACTGACATCTCAGCAGAACAGGAAGTAGAAAGAACAGGAAACAGAACTTGAAAGTATTAAGGCTCACCCTCAATGACCCACTTCCTCCTGCTGATTCTACCCACTGAAGGTCCCCCAACCTCCTATGAGCAGCATCTTCTGCTGGGGACCAAATATCCAAAGGCATGATCTTGGTGTGGGGGGAGTATTTCACGTTCAAACCGTGGAAGCTCTACTATACCAACCTGAGAGGTCACTATGGGGTCAACCCTAACTACTCTTAAGTGATTGAGGCTAAAACTGTGTTCATCAGTTTTTACCCCAAATTGTGTCTCTTCTTTGCACAAGCCATGGTTTTCTGTTACTTCAGCAATCTTCTAAACAATTGAAAATGTCTCATTATTGATATCTATTCCTAATGATCTTCCAAGTAAGTGGGAATGTTTAGAAATGAGGTAGCTAGCAAAATAAGTGAAGGAAAGAAAAGGGTGGAAAAGGAAAAAAAAAAAAAAAGCAGAGGGAACTGTACTATAGTGGCATTATTATTTTTATTGAATACACATAGTTATTCATATTTTTACATATTGGAAATATTTTACCATAGTAGCATCCTTCTGATAAAGTGATAGAGATGTAAGTGCTCAATTAAGTATTTCAGTTAAAGAACCAATTTGAAATTTAAACTTGAACCAAGCAAATGCATGATAAGTTGATTCCAGGAATGTCACTGAAGTGCTGACCCTATTTGGCTTCCTAAGAACTTTTCCTGATAAGATAATTGTTTTTTTTTTAATGAATAAAATATAAAATATATTTTAATGTTAATTAGTAATATAGAAACAATAAAATTTATAAAACAAGAGCATTCAGTCTGATTACTAAAATGTTTTTGTGAAGCCTATTATAATAGCCTAATTGAGATTAAATATATATTTTTTTACCTAAGGTATAAAATAATAAATATTTGGTATTTCTGGGCTTCAATTTTCACTCAAACTATTAGCAAAAATTATGAAGTAATGTTACAATGTTTTATATGGAATGCTTAAAACTTCAAGGCATAATAAAATAATGTCACATGGCTCTAGAATTAGTCATTTCTATGTAACTGGAAATTGTTTCTATAAAGGTTATGGGACCAAATGCCGGAAGAAGCTGCGGCTTGTGAGTTTCTTCCCTTTCAGAGTCTTACAGCACTGTGGTGCAGACAGGATGGTAGAGGTCAACTTTAGGAAGACTCTGGTCCCAGAAGTCACCAGGTCAGCACGGCCACCCAGAGAAATGCAAGAAACCAAAGCCCACACTTACCCCATGCTTGCTATGGTGATCTCAACTACACTCGAGGCAGGTTGTTCCATTAGACTCTATGTTAATAAAATAGAACAGAAGCCTGTAAATGTAGCTGCCCATTGTCACTCTACAGATAGCAACTAAAAAGCTCGTCCCAGATAGCATATCCAGGTTTATTTGAGCTCAGCAGGCGTTGATTCTGATGGGGATCCTTCTGCATCTGTAATGCAAACAAGATAAAGCTGCGTTTTTCATAAACTTAACATTTTAACTTATTAGTTGGAAAGTATATGACACACATATTTCTGCTCCTATTCCTAAGGTTAACCCAAAAGTCTATGAAAATTGAGCATGCAATCCTACTGTGTAGCACAAATCATGGTTGGGAAACACAAGGCTCCATCCCACGTTGGCACTAAAGCAAGTACCACACTTTTGTATCCCTGCCTGCCCGCCCATGATGCAGAGCTTTGCTGCCAATGCACAGGACAGAACTAAGCAGTGTGGCTAGAGAGAGGTCTCTGTGTGGCATCTGTCTCTCTGTCCCCAACTCTCACACCTCCTCATTAACTAGGGACCTTTCCCAAAGGCTATAACTGGACATGTGACCTAACTAACAGCCAACTTTTTTTTATGCCAACACATCAAGAATGTCTGTAAAGGATCATGCTAAAATAGCAACAACCTTATGTCTGGGGGAGGGAAAGAAATATTAATAATCAGAAACTTTGAGTAAATTCATTTCCAGAAAGTTACAACTCAGAGAGGAGCATTTTCAGGTAGGGAGGAAGAAGGCACCACCTGCTTTCACTGTTGTTTATAAAATGTAAACTGTGATGCATGATCAGTACCAGGCCTGGAGAGGGAAGGGGCCAGGGTTTCAGTGGTGATGCCTTCTTCCCATGCAGCAGGTCCCCAGCCCCTTCCTCAAGGACATTGTGCTTTTCTGTTTATGGGGGGGGGTTACTGATTTTGATGGTAAAATGGTTTTTCTGTAATTAAGTAGGACCTGCTGCTGGCGGAGATATGGATTACACTGTGACACCTGGATTATATAGTACTTGCGATGACTTACTTCCCAGAAAGGTAATACGTTCACACTAGTGTCAAGTCCTATCCCTCAGTTGGATCTTACATGTGTGCATGTAGATACATACTTACGGTGAGGTAATTTTTATTTACTTGAGGATAAAATGCAGAATCCTAAAACATTGCTTATGCAGGAGCCTGAGTGCATGCTGCATGCACATATTTAAGTTGGGGTTCTAAAAATGAGTGCTCTAAAGCCAAACAGAAAAAAAAAAAAGAAATAATATCCAACAAGAATAAAGACTGATAACACAAGGGAAAGAATAAAAAAGTGAAGATTTTGTTTTTGATGTTTTTAAAGGGAAAGGGTTGAAAAATCTATAACTAAAGTAGAAAATGCAAATCAGAAAGCAAAGGCACAGTGCAATAGAATGCAATGGATAGTAAGAGAGAACCACAGTAACAAAGTACATGTTCCTATAAACATGAATCCTACAAAGACAGGCATGAGTACCAAGTGTGCCCAGATCTAAAATGAGTAAGGAGGCTAAATGCCTATATCTGTGATTAAAAAAAAAAAAGACTCTGACAGAAAGTCTGGAGTCTGACCGAGTCACTGCTGGAGTCTATCAAACATTAAAGAATAAATACTACCAATCATTTTCAAACTTCTCCAAAAAGTACAAGGTAGAAACACTTCTCTTTTTCATTTTATGAAGCCAACACCACTTTCATGCCCAACAAGATGAGGACACTGAAAGATAAGAAAAGTACAGGCTAGTCCTTGGTAAACACATATGCAGAAATGTTTACCAAAATGCTAGCAAACCAAAATTAACCATACATTAAAGGGAACGTGTATAGTTATTAAATGAGATTCATTCCTGGTATGCAGGAGCAATTTAACACCACACACATGCACACTCTCACACACACACACACCCCACTACATTAACAGAATGAAGGACAGAAATTAAATGATCATCTCAATAGACACAGCCAAAACATTTTAAAAATTCAGCATCGCATCTTCATGCACTGAAGGAAACTACCTCAAAACAATGCACACTGTATACAAGTTCACAGTCAACATCATAATCAGTGGTAGAAAGTTGAAGCTTCTCTTCTAAGATGAGGGGGTCACTCATGCTGCTTCTATTCAGTCTAACAACAGATATCATAACCAGAGCATTAGACACAGAAAAAAAAAGAAAAACTCCTATATATGGAAGTAAATTATCTCTTGTTGCCACAGTCTTATTTATAGACAATCTCAAAGAACACACAACAAACTGTTAGAATAAAGGATACAGAACTCTCTCTCTCTCTCTCTCTCTCTCTCTCTCTCTCTCTCTCTCTCTCTCTCACACACACACACACACATACAGACATGCCTATACATATAGCATAAAAATGCCTGACAGTAAATTGAACCAAACAGGTAAATGAAGTAAGGTTAAAGATGATGAAAGAGATCCAAGAGGACATAAACATATGGGGAAATATTGCATGTTCATGGAAGAATTGATATTGTTGTTCATACTCCCATAACATAATCTACAGACTCCATGCTGTCCCTACCAAAATTTCAATCACATTTTTCACAGGAATAGAGACAAATTCTAAAATTCATATGGAACTATGAAATATTAAATTGCCAAAGCAGTCCTGACACACAGAATAAAACTGGAGGCATCACATGACCTTACTCCAGAGCACAGGACAAGGTCAGGGAGAACAAAGCAGCCTGGAAGGGGTGGTCAAGCTGGCACTGCCCTGAGTTACTCTGCACTGTAGGCTACCGTCATTCCTCAGGATGTGTCTTGCCTGGAAGCACTCGATTTGAAAAGCATCAGCTGGCTACATTTTGCAGTACACAGAGACAGGATGACTCTGCATCCTGTCCCACATATAAACACCAGCATCTGTCTGGAACCACCCACAGAGGCACAGAAATGATAACTAACTTATTACTAGCAGTAAAAGGGGAGTTACCATATAAATTTATCAATGTACATTGTGAACCTATAAACACAGGAGCATATTAAAATCTGATCAAGAAAACCAGGCCCAAGAATTTACTGAACACACCAGACTGAGGTTAAGGTACAACATTTTCACTTAGACCTCCAAAATGAGGGACATATAACACCACAATGGTTACTGCTACCTCCCACTCAGTGTATACATCAAAAGACTGTCTCCAGAGCTTCAGCACAGTCTTTCCCCACACCGTCCCCCAGCCCCCAGAGATGCATCTCTGTCAGCTCTTGGTGTATCTCTAGTTGCGTCTTAGGAGCTCCTTGAACTCCGCTGTGGTCTCTTATACCCTCTGTGGCTGCTCTATGGCTTGCATATATGGAGATATAATTATTGTGTGATGTGTAAGGTGTGATTGGAGAGTTAGTTAAGCCTGGAATGAAGGAACTTGTGTTCGCCTCAGGCAGTTATCAAGGGGAGCAGGACTGCTTGGCAAATTGCTGCCAACAAACCCACTGTTACTTGTGTGTGTGGTTGTTAATGGTGAATGTGTTGTTACTCAATTAGCTCTGACATGGTAGAAAGACACAGACATATTTATCTATGTTTATGACATAATCTGCTTATAAAGTGACATAAAATCAGACTCATAGAACAGTGAGATAGGCTAGCACCCCTAAATAAATCTATAGACTTAAGCTTGCTTTTCAACAAAGGTAGAAAGAATATATAGTAGAAAAGGACAGAGCTTTCTCTAAGTGTTATTGAAAAATGAATACCCATAAGCAAAATATAAAAGTTGACTCTCAGCTCGGACATCATACCCAAGTATGGATTACAAGCTTAAACAAATGACCCATCACTGCAAAGCTTCTGGAAAACTGCAGGGGAAATCTTTAGTGCTGGTTCTGGGTTTGACTCCTTTCTTTTTTAAACAATATGTTTTATGTATCATTATTGCTTTTATTTATGTGTAGTGTGTGGCTGCATGAGCTACACTATATGAGCTAAGGTGCCTGGGGAGGCCAGTTGGCTCCCTTAGAACTGGAGTCATAGGCAGCCCCCTGCTAGCTACCTGATATGGGTGCTGGGCTGGACTTGGCTCCTTGGCCATAGAAGCAAGCACTTAACCTTTATGTCAGTGGTTTTCAACCTGTGGGTCATGATCCCCACAAGGGTTACATATTAGATATTTACATTACTACGTTTATCACAGTAGCAAAATTACAGTTATGAAGTAGCAATGAAAATAATCTTATGGCTGGCGACCACCTCAACATAAGGAACTGTATTAAAGGGTTGCAGCATTAAGAAAATGAGAAGCAGCCAGGCAGTGGTGGCACATGCCTTTAATCCCAGCACTCAGGAGGCAGAGGCAGGTGGATCTCTTTGAGTTCGAGGCCAGCGTGGTCTACAGAGTGAGTGCCAGGATAGGCTCCAAAGCTACACAGACAAGCACTGTCTCGAAAAACCAAAGAAAAAAAGAAAGAAAGAAAATTGAGAACCACTGCTCTAAGTCATCTCTCCAGCCCCAGAGATGTTTATAAATAATATCTATATATGTATATGTGTGAATACATATAAATATTCTATTATATATAAATATATAAATATTGTATGTTACACAGTATATGTTGGGTGTTTATATATAGATATTTATATTGTCAAAATACAAACAACACAAGCAAAATAGACAAATGAGATAGTATCAACCTAACAAGTTTATGTACAGAAAAAGATGAAATCAACAAAATAAAAGCACAACCCACAGAATAGGACAGAACCCTTGGAAACAGCTTTTCTGGCAAGGGATTAGTACTCAAAATATATACAGAGCTCAAGTGACTTAGCAAGAAAGGAAACTGATGGTTTTAAAAATGGGCAAAGGAACGGGGCCTGGTAGCTCATGCTTATAATCTTAGCCTTTAAAGCCTGAAGCTGGAAGAGTGCCACGAGTTGGAGGCCAGCCTTGGGAACATAGAGAGAGTTGTAGGCTACTTCCAGTTACATAGTGAGGTCCTGTCTCAAAAAGATAAAAAGCAACAACGAAAGCTAGGGAGTAGACTTGAATAGGCATTTTCCAAAAGAATGTATACAATGGCCGATGTGTATATGAAAAAATGTTTAACATTGATAATCACTAGGAAAACACAAATTAAAACCACATTTAAGTGACACCTTACAAATGCCACAGTGATTTGCTGTTCTTATTGTTGTTTTGGTTTTTTTCGAGATAGGGTTTCTCTGAGTAGCTCTGGATGCTCTGGAACTCTGTATAGCAGGCTGGCCTCAAACTCAGGGATCCACCTGCTTCTGCCTTCCAAGTACTAGGGTTAAAGGCATGTGCCACACCCAGCTGGTTATTCTTTAAAAGATAAAAAGATGGAACTGGAGGGATTTCTCAGTGGTGAAAACCACTGACTGTTCTTACAAAGGACTCAATTTTTATTCCCGACACCCACATGGTGGCTCCTGTTAACTCCAGTTCCCAGAGATTCAAGTGCTGGCACCCATCATGCATGTCGAACACAAACATTCATGCAAATAAAACACTATACACATAAGATAAACAAATCAAAAGATTAAAAACACTGCTGGCAAGGATGTGAGGAAACAGAACCACAGCCTGCTGTTAGCAAGAATGTGCCTTAGCACAACATACAGAAATCAGCAGGAAGCTCCTCCCACTCTTAGGTATGTATCCCGAATCAGCAGGAAGCTCCTCCCACTCCTGGGTATGTATCCTGAATCAGCAGGAAGCTCCTCCCACTCCTGGGTATGTATCCCTGAAGAACTGGAACCAGGAAGTCAAGAGACAACCTGCAGCCCTATGTTCACTGGAGCACAGTAGCCAAGAGAGAATATCAGCTGGAAGACCCATGAGGAGATGGATAGATGAAACAAGTAACACACACATACATACATAATTAAAAGGAATAAAAATAAATCTAAAAAAGATAACCCACATTCAAAAAATGAGAAAAAGTCTATTCTACTTCAAGTAGCAATTAGCCATAAAACTCTATCAGCTCTGTAACATTCAAGAGGACCCTTGTTTCACCAGTCAGCTGGTCATCTCTATAAGGATGGAGACTGCTTGGCAGTCATACTCCATCTATACAGGGAGGAGTCAGACATGCAAAGCTATACAGAGCTCTGCTCACAAACCAATACCCTAGCATTTCAAATGCTTGCACCCACTCCGCCCACTCCTGCTGTCTCTGCCATTACTCAAAGCAGCAAAGCCTAAAAAGAATGACTTTTTTTTCAAGAAGCAAGCTCTCTCAGTATCATCAGTGACAGAAATTGAAATGGTCTGCAGTAAGTTTCCACAGGTGCAAACAAGCAAACTGGGCGGCTGCTTCTGCGAATGCTTAAGAAAAAAAGCCAGTGTTGTATTCTGGGCATCCTAAATCACTCAGTTTAAAAAGTGCTGATAACAGAGAAATGGAATGCTTGAACTTGGGTTTCCTTTCAGAGGACAGAAGGTGTCCTGTGAATGGGGTGTCAGAGGACAAGCTCATGTGGGACAATGGCAGTGGCGCTGGCGGTGTCATGTGAGGACTCTCTACGTTCTGAAGACTAAAACTAATACAGTATTTTACACTTTGTTGTACCAAGTGGAGTATCAAGATTTTTGATAAATATAATAAAAACGTGAAGCCCCATCCGTCATAATTTTTTGCGTTCTCAACTGAATGAAAAGAAAAAAGCCCAAGTACACACTATTTGAATGCTTACCCCATATGGCAAGACCTCTGTGGAGTTTTAGCATGGCTTCTATTTGCATGTCTCACTGGGAGACACACCAGGGGATGAGAAAATCACCTACCGTTCTCACCACAAAACACGTGCATGTCATGATGACCCTCACCTGGGGTTTTCTCAGGGTCTTCCGGGGCCTCTGGATCTTGGGGCGTCTCTGTGTCCTGGGTATTTTCTGATTCCTTTGTGGACTGGGTGGAGAAGGATGCCCTGGATGTCTTTGGAGTCCTCTTGTCAGCATCAGCTCGCTGCTGCTGTAACCACTCATCCTTATAGCCATTGCTGATAAGTTTGGAAAAGTTTGTTGGTGAACTGTTTTTTGGACCAGGCCTTAAAGAGAGACGTGTAAATATTAAACTCCAGGGCAAAGATTAACTTAAAAAGGAAAACCAGCGGCAGTGTTCAGGGAACTTAACTTGGGAAGGAACACTGGTACTGAGCTCTGCCCATTCCCTCTCTGCCTCCATTCCCCTCCCCCATCTCTCACTCTCTCCATGTCTCTCATCTTTCCCCATTTCAAACATAAAATGGTCTCAATGCATCCCTATACACGAGTGATACCATACTTAGCCAGCCCAGTTTCCCAACCCCCCCCCCTTTTTTTTTCTTATTACCCAAGTAAAATCTGGTAAGAACACTGGTTTATCACACAAAGAAGTTCTAGAAAATACCCCTCCCCCTACACACTAACAATGGGTTACTTAGGATAGCTGTTCCTGCCTTAGTGTCTTCCTTATTGTCCACTCACTGCACAGCTGTCTCCTGTCATCTGTCACCCACTTCAGCTTAGAGATCTTATCATAATTGACACTGAAAAGTAGTAGGGCAGTAGTGTGAGCCTTCCAGTCAGACAGGTGACAAGCACGCGCTTGTCACCTCCCAAGCCACAAGTTTCGGACTCATGAACCACCTTATTAAGAATTTCCCTGGCAAGTCCCTCCCCATCTGTCATGATGTATCGAATGTGATCGTTTTCCTCACCGATGAGAAGCTGTCTGAAGACTCAGTCAGAAATTCATGACATTTGTTTGCTCCTAAACTAGACTTCTGGCAAATACGGTGACACAGAGGCCTCCAGGATTACTCATCAGCTAGAAGACCAACGGGTGTCAACATATCTAAGAAATCCCAGTAGAATGCAGAGCCGGAGTGCTTGCACTCAAGATAGGAACCCTGTGCTCAGGCTTTGATGGCAGTAAGTTTCAGTACGGAGTGCATGAGCAAGGGACACATGGCCACAAACCACAAACCACAAACCTATGCCACAAGCTGCAGGCTGCAAGGAGGCCAGGCATGTGATCAAAGAGGTAACATTGGTGTTAAGGAAGGAGTAAACGTGCAACTAGGTTCTCAGGCCAGGTTGGGCAGGGCTCTGTGGGCAAGGCAGGCGGGTGCTACCATTGGCAAATCTGTGTCTGGATAGGGTTAGGGCGGGTCAGTAGGTGGTATCAGTTCACAATTGCCTCCTGGCTGAAGAACAGAAAATCAACCCAATCTTCATACAAACAGCATTCATTCTTATAAGTTGGACACTTACATAGGAGGCAGGGACAGCCTGCTTCCTTCAAGGTCTTTGTGGCTAACTGGGGTCCCCACTTTGCTGGGATTCTTGGAGTTAATGGCTGGCAGTTTCACCTGTGTGGAGAGATACAAATCTATGACTTAGGGTAGAAGAAAGGACTCCAAGAGCAGCAAAAACACCAGTACTGGACCTTCCGTGTGGCCACAGGCTGTTACAATAAATAAAATCAAATAATCACTAAGTTGACAGGATGACTTGCAAAGGGGACAAAATGTGCTTCAAAAACAGTTGCTGTATTTAAGTAAAGAGGTCCCCTGCTCAGAAGGAAAACAATTAGTGAGCTCTGGGGATACCAGATATTCTGAGGGGGTCTTGCTGGAGGGAGGGGTCCACCAGCCCATAGAAAACGGAAATGTATGTATAATGAGGTTCATGGGAGCTTTGTAATGGTCACCAAGAACTGGAAACCAAACAAATAGCCACCCACAAAAGAACAACAATAACAAGGGCTAGGGTCCTGACACACCGTTCCACATGGCAGAGGCAGGCCAGAGGGACTGTAGTCACTAGCTTGATGCCACTGATTTGAGATTCTAGAAAGATTTATCCTAGACGGTGTTTGTTACTGTGATGAATGCCATGACCAAAACCAACTTCATTTTATGATTTCAGGTCACACACCATCTCAGAGGGACATCAGGGCAGGAACGCAGGGCAGGAACTGGAGGGCAGGAACTGGAGGCAGAGGCCGTGGAGGAAGACTGCCCTCTCCTGCTTTGTGTGACTTGCTCAGCCTGCATTCTTGTACACCTTGGGACCACCCTCCCAGATGTGGCACCACCCACCATAGCCTGGGCCCTTCTTCACCAGTCATCAGTCAAGAAAATGTCCTTCAAACTTGCCTACAGGCCAACCTGATGGAGGCATTTTTTTAACTGAAGTTTCTTTCAGACAACCTTAGCTTGTGTCAAGCAGACAAAAAACAATCAAGGCTTAAAGGAGACCAGTAACTGCTAGAGATGGGAATTAGGAGGGATTGGTGACAAAGGGGCTGAGAAATCTGAGAGACGACAGAACTGCTCTGTAGCTCCGTGTCTATGGTGCTTACATGAGGTATGCATTTGTTAGAAGATTGTGGATCAATACTGTGTAACAAGTGAACTATATTCCATGTAATGACCTCAGATGAAAGATGAAAAGAGCATCCTGGAGTCACCCTTTAGAATGTTGATACATCTGTCCTAAGGACAGGACACAGTCTATGTCAGGCTGAGTGACAGCCAGAGGATTCAATGGGCATCCCGTTCTTTCCTAGGCTGGAGACGGATGGTCTCCGAGAGGCAGGACAACCTGCATCATTGGGACAGACTGGACAGGATGGCAAGCCAAAGTCTAGGACAATAGCCAAGTGTTGAAATAATTCCGTGCCCAGAGGTTCTGCAAGATTTGAGAACAGGAAAACTCCTTAGGCTCTACAGAATACACACTTTGGGGACCTTTATGCCCAGTGGTGATGAGGACACTACTTCCCTAAGGCCATCAGGGCCCTCCATAATGTGTCTCTTCCTGAGTTACATAACACTGTCCCTTCAACGAGTGCACAGTAAGTATCGGTGTCTGCAACCCTGGCTTCTACCTTTCCTAGCATTGAGAAGGTGGAGGACAGTCTGGCTCCAGGTATTTCTGCAGTCAGCAGGACCCTGTGTGAGTGATTATTAGATGAAGTCAGAGTTTATAGTGATGCAGCATTTTTGCTTTCTAAATTTTCTCAAGCTATATGCTGGAACCCTCATTACCAGGCAAGCCTTCCTTTCATTGCTCAGGGTTCACCTCTACACAGTCAACCACTTATACACTATCAGGAGACAGGCCTAGTCCTCAGTAGAGTCCGTTAGCAGGGCTCATACTAGTGGCCCAAGGCCTCAATCACAGCTGGACACTGGGGCAGCTTGAAGAACCAACACCACAGCCAATGGGTGCCGTCTTGGTATTCAACTACCAAGTCCCCACATGATCTGAGGGGAACTCCCTCTCTTTCAGAGGCACTGAGAAGACACACTGGTCCCCTTGCTGTTGAAACCACAATGGTGTCCATTCTTGTTCTCGGTCTTAAACACCACTGCCATTTTCAACATAAATGCCACCACTTCACCTGAAAATTTTGGTATGTCAAGTGCTGAAATTCATTTCAGACCTGGTGCTAGCCACAATGTAGAGCATTTATTTGGCATGGGCCTGGCTATGCTCTTATAGGTTCTAGGAACAGTACAGACAGGTGTAGAGACTCCAACCCATCTGCCACTCACGGCTCGTTTCTGGGATTTCCAGTTCCTCAAATAGGTCAAGTCCTCTGAAAAGGCTTTGCCTTGCAGGCCACATATGACTTCATAGTCAAAATACCCCTGAGCATCTCTGCAGAACAACGTACTTCCTCTCTCCTTCCTTATCAGTGAGGAGCACTGTGGGTAATTTGTACTTAAATAAGATAGAAATATCCAAAAAAAAAAAAAAATGGGATATTAAACACACATAAATGCATCCTTTCTTTGTATGCAGGATAGGAAGTGTTAGGACAGTCTCCCCAAAGACACCGTTAACTGGTTAGGCTCCAGAAGGTAAAAGGCAATCTTAGCTACAAAGCCAACATACACAGGAAGAAAATGTGTCTGCTAGCTTCTTAGCAATTTCAAATTTAAAACAGAGCACAGAGCTTAGAACTCAGCACTGAGCACAGTGGAGGGTTGGGCCAGGTCTGCAGGTGGCCTGAGTAGGCTGTAGCAGCAGCTAAGGAACACTCCCTTAATTATTCCTGGAGTCACAGGGGCAAAGCAGATGCGGGTGACGCCCACTCAGCAGCATGGTTACCTTTCTCTTCACATTTTCAAGTTCCTCAGCCTCTCTTTGCCAAACTGTTTTCATGTCAAAGTCAAAGGGGCCTTGTCTGGACTCATAGCTACCATTGGCCTGATCAGGGTTGAATTCTTCATACACCATGTAATCTGGTATGGAGACCACAGGGACTCTGCAAGGACAGAAAGGACACGTTACAGCCTGGCACCTGGCACCATTTTAGGCTCCCCCTTTCTCTTTATTGTTCCCTCTTCTCTACCTCTATCCTCTCTCTCCTTCCTCATTTCCTCCTTATCCCCCTCCTTTTTCTCAACCCTCTGGTTTATCTGTCTCTCTGCTTCCCCAATCTTCCTGGAAAACACAGGTAGGTAGGTAGGTAGGTAGGTAGGTAGGTAGGTAGGCAGGCAGGCAGGCAGGCCCTTTACTTCTCTCACTGAATAAACACATCAGCCCCTCTCCATGCTAGGTCCCACGGTCCCCAGGACAACAAAAGAAATCACAAGGTGACATTCTAAAGTATGAGCTTAGAAAATGGATAAATTATAATTATTTCTTGTAGACTAACATTTACTACTTTGTTCCCTTCAAAGAGGTAAGTTACCATTTAACTAATAACAACCTGCTGCCCTGTCAGATGGCCAATGTTAATGTGGGTATGCAAGCATGCAACTGGTCTTCCCACACAATCTGTCAGCTCCAGGGCCTCCTATCCTTTCCTGCCCATTCCTGCTTTCTCTCTACCTGCTTCCCCTTCTTTTCTGAACTTAGCACAAACTCTTAAAAAGCAAAACAAAAACAAAAAATCAGAGTCTCACCATGTATCCCTGACTGGCCTGGAACTCACTATGTAAACCAGGCTAGCCTTGATTTCAGCATTGACCTCACAGAGAACCCTCTGTATCCCTAGTGTTGGAATTAAAACTGTGGGTGGTGGTGGAACACTCCTTTAATCCCAGCTCTCAGAAAGCAGAGGCAGGGGGATCTACAAGTTACAGGCTAGCCTGGTCTACAGAGTGACTTTCAGGATATTCAGGGCAAACAAACAAACAAAACAAGCTGTGTACCACAAGTCTAGCCTACAAACTATTCTTAAAAACGATAGGAATTTAATATTCACTTGCCACAGGCATGTAAAAGTATTCTTTTTATGTGTTAAAAACTAAAAACAAAGCCAGGGTAGTGGTGGCCAAGATAGAGGCAGAAGGATCATGAGTTTGAGGTCAGCCTGGGCCTCAAATTCTGAGGCCCCAAACAGCCTGGAATCTGTTTAAAATATAAAATAACACACCTTAAAATAAAAATACAAAAGCAAATAAAACAGGAAGAACCAGAGTCCTGAACACAAACAACAAACCTACAAAAACCACAACCCCACAGGGTGTCTGGGGCCAGTCAAGAAACACTGCACACAACGTGGGAAGATGTCTGTGTTGATCCAATCTTTCAAGCAAACACACAAAACAAAAGGCCAAGTCTTTAAAAGGCAGAAAAATAAACCCTAAAAAATTGTACTTTTTATGCTTCCTTTCAGACCAAGAGAGGTATCTGAAGGGGTCAAGTTTGCATGGTCACAAGTAACAATAGTAACATTGTGACAGGGTAGGAGACCATGGCTCTGCCCTTCTGTGATCATCTGAGAAACTGAGAGCTGTGTTCGGTTCTCCTTGTGTGTAATACCTTTCACCCACAGTGAGAAGAAAGCTTTGGGGCAGGCAGCTCTGGGGTAGGCAGACAGGGCCAGAGCCCAGGGGACAAAGAATAAAAACCTAAAGCTACTACCTAATAAGTGGACAAAAGAGCCGCACCCTGAGGGGACATGGCTGTGTGTCTTCTTGACACTAGTTTCCTGTCGGTTTAGGCCACATCTCTCAAAACATTAGCTATTACATACAGTCCTACTCAGGGCTGTAATACCACTCTCTGGAAATACGAGATATTTGTAACTTTCCAATTCAAAACGAGATTTTTTTTCCCCAAACTTATTTTTTTATGACATTTTTGTTAATTTGTGCTTAGCCACACACATTCCACGGTGAGCATGTAGAGATCAGAGGGTAAAATGCAGGTGTTGGCTCTCGACTGACTTGTACAATGTGGGTCCTGGGGAGTTGAACTCAGCTGTCAGGCTTGGCAAGCTGCTGGACTGTTTTGCTGGCACCCATGTTTTATATATATTTAGAGAGAGACAACAAAGTGGGAGACTTGGAGATACTCACTCTCGCTGGAGGGCAGTCGGAGGCTTGCTGTGGTGGATATACCAGTCTGGCAGGGAGTAGGCTACTGGCGAGCCCTTCCTGGTCCCAGGAGCAAAGTGCTTCAGCAAATCTCAAAGAGAAAGGGACACTGTTATATGTGGTCCTGCTGCCCACAGGGCATGTGGCGTTACCAACACTCCACACTGGGGGCTGTGCCATCTTCCCTAGGGTGGCCTCTACCTAGGCTGAGAGCCGAGTATCCTGCTTGGCACTCAGGAAAAGACATCCCTCACGCACGCTCCACCTCTCATGCTATCTTCTCCTGGGTGTGCACAGAGCTTCTGGTCTTTAGCTGGCATCTGTGCCAGCCACCATCAGCACTCCCTCAGCGGTTCATCTCTGCACTTCTGAGATCTCCGAGGGCTGTGAGCAATGCTCCTCAGCCTTCAGCGACCTCCATGTTCCTCTCCATCCTACAACAGTCTGGTCCACCATTGTGGGTCTGCCCCACCCCCACTGCTGTTTCCTAGAGAAGCTGCTTCCTCCAGGTTCCCAGATGGGAAGTCCCAGGTGGATGTATCAGATTTTGTGGCTTTTCGGGGAGGTACCCAGCACAGGCTCCTTCCCAATTGCCTCGTTACTCCCCAGTGACTTTCTTCCTCTCATCCTTCCTCTCCCTCCTGTCCACTGGTGTCCAAGGGCAGTAAGTGTTAAGAACGGGTTTTGCTAGGTAATTCCAATAGCAAAATAATTCCCAATTCCCATAGCCATGGTAGCAGCAGAAAGTGTATTGACTTACTCCTCTTGGTGAGAAATCTTAAACTTCCCATTTTAAAACTTCAAAGACTTTTCGTTGTTAAGATTTTCCGACTTCGGACAGATTGAAAGGATGATGTGGATCCCTCCTAACACAGACTCCCCTGCACATCCTGCCTGCTTAGTCAATGCCGTCTTCTCTCCCCACATTTCCCACTGCTACCAAAATCATTGGGGTCTCAGCACTGTTGAGTGGCATATTGCAGGCAGGTTTGTCCCTTCATCCTCTGTGGCTGAGCTGCTGCTCACGAAAGTCAGCCCCCACATAAGCACAGCATAGTGAAGACAATGTCTCTGTGTCATCCGATTTTAATCATCTCTTTGAACGAAGAGCAAGGAGATAGAGCTAAGAAAAGGCTGCCTTGATCCTGCGCCCCATCTGCCCTTGGCTGAGTCAATCAAGTGATATGGTCTAGGTTTGGAATGCTCAAGCATAGACTTGGCTACCATTTCTCCTCTGATATTCAACGTAGTAACAGTGACAGCCAGAGGGAAGAAAGGAAAACTTTAGTCTTTCTCAGTTCTGGGTGCTGCAAAGCCTAGCTGAGACATCTGGGAGTAACCCTCTGAGCAGTGATTTCTATTAAACTCAATATGTCTTCCTTGCATGCTTGTACTAAAGTTGATTTTCACTGAAGACTACACATATCCAATGTCCAAAATGAGCTTGAACAAGCATCTTGATACCACAGTTATATTTTATGTGGATAAGATTGGAAACACTGCTCCCACCCTACTTCCTAATCCCCCCCAACCCCAGAGTTCTGCTCACAAAGCCACTTAGTTCACACAGGGCTTACCAGGTCTGCCGCCTTGCTTAGCCAGCTTCACATACTCTGAGTCTGTTTCTTTTATCCAGTATCTCCGAGCACGGGGCATGTTTCCATTTGGGGAGTCTCCCAAGTCACTGAGCCCTGGGATCTGGGATGCGGGTGGGGCACCCACAGCCTTCTCAGAACGCTTCACAGGTAGATGGTAATACCAGTCTAGACAGGAGGGAGGCACAGTCAGATAGGGTTCTAGGGAAGCCCTCTACTGCCTGACAGTTTCTCTGTGTGCATATAACATATGTGTCAGGAAGCACATAACACAGAGCACACAAACAAGAAAAGAGTTGCCTGCTCTGGAACATGTAATACTAATCAGGACCAGGAAACCTAGAACATAAGTTAATTTTCCAGAGTCCCCAACTACATCAACCATTAAGGCAAATAGAAGGGACATCACCGCCTTCTTGACCCCACTCCCCCCCGTCATCCTCCCAAAGCCTTTTCCATTGTTGCAGTAATTCTAGAAACTATCCAAAACCCCTGTGTCTGTCTTCTTCCCTCCCCCCTGCCCCTCCTACTATCCCTCCCTCTTGCCCTTCCCCCATACCCCAGGAAAATGCTTAGCTGTATTTCTGGTAATGTTGGGTGACATGCAGATCTGAATAAATGCCAAATCATTTAAACCATTATGGATAAACCAGATACTGGCCAGGATTGGATAAGCCTCAGACATTAAAATACTATTATTCTGTAACAGACACACAAGCTGACCAAACTCGTTTGTCACTCTTACAAGAGCTGAAGGAAGTAGGCTGGGGTGTGGTCCAAGAAGCCTTACTTGCTTAACATCTATGTGGAAAGCCAACGCCTGCCTCCCACACCCTCCAGCAGCCAGACAACCCTGTGTCCCAGTGGCAGCCCAGCTGCACACAAGAACTGTGCTGGAGGCTACAGTGGGCAGTGGGGAGCAATGGAGGCTTAGATGGGTCCTGAAAGGGGGATCCACCAGGCAGGAGCAATCACCTTTATGCAAAACCTTCTCAAGCCCCAGATGTCAAAGGTCTTCCTTGGGAAAGACTGAGGGAAAATGGTGAGTATAGATTGTGTGACTTCTAAAGAGGGAACTTGGGGAGAGCTCATAGGGAGCAAGGAGAGGAGTGTGGGCCACTTGTCCCTCCTTCCTCCCCAGGGTGACATCAACCCTCTGCAGAAATAGAGAGGAGTTGAGCACGGCCTGGTGAAATGAAGATACGCCCTAGACTTTGAGCTGATGGCACGCAGCGGGAGACAGGGCAGGCTGACTTGGAAGCACTCATAAGACTCCCCAGAGTCATTCAGTCCCAGAGCAGGAATTTCTATCAAGGAACAGAGGGATTAGTAAAGTCTCAAAGTCCTGGAGTTACTAAGTTACTAGTGCTGATGTATCACACACACACACACACACACACGCATGGGTGAGAGAGAACTGTGCAAACTGCATCAGAAATCAACCAGATGCCAAAATATAAAGAAGAAAGAAAAACAAAAAACAAACAAACAAAAAAATCACATCAATGGAAAAGTTGGGAAACAAAGACTTAAGTTTTTTAAAAAAAATACAAGAAGACACAATTTCTGTGGCATGGATGCTGGCTGTGTTTCATAACACTTTTCAGACTCACGGCATTCAGAGTCAAACACAGAACCTGGTCCTTTGTGGCAGTATGTATCCAGACTTTGTGCGGGTATTATTCTCATTGCTTTTGTGAAGGTCTTTTCAAAATGAGAATTGTCACTTACATCAGAATAAAGCAGATGATTCTCTACAACAGAATGAGTCTCCTTCGCTCAGTTGAGTGAATCTTAAGAAAAATTAAAAAAGAGGGAATTCTGCCTCCAGATGGACTTTGAACTTGATTTGCGACCTCAGCTCTTCCCCTGTTCTCCAACCTGCCATTCAGGTTGTACTCAATGGGCCCCACACTCAGGCAAGCCAGTGCATACAAGAGATCTCTGTCTCCTTTTACAACTATGTGGGTAGCTGATTAGTCATGCTGCTTGCTCAGAGTCAGGGCACAGGGAAACAGCAGTGAATATGCTAGAACAAACATAGAAGCAAGAAGTCGATATTCTCTGAAGCTAAATGCCCACACCATCAGTTTTTTCTTATAACTAAAGCTGGGCTTGCTGCCTAAAAGTGTAGGCTATTTCATCTGGAAATTTTAAATATCTAAAGAATACTCCTTAGCTGAGTCAACGTGATCCATTTTGGAAGACCTGCACAAGGAATCCCAGAGAATTAAGAATCAGAATTGAGCAGCCTTTTACTGACCGGGCTCAGCTCCTTGTTTCTTCTTTTAGAGGGAAGTCATTTGGTTCTTGCTTTATGTTTTCTCTGTGTGTTGATTGCTAATTAATCCACAGAGAACACTGTATCTTCTGCCATCTCATTACTGCAAGCTTTGGACAGGCACTGAGCACACTAAGGCATTTGTAAATGTGCACACAGGCACAGCTCAGAGATCTTGGGCCCCATCAGTAAGGACAAACCATTGCCACCTAGCATACACATGTAGGAGGTAAAGGGGACACAGAGGTATCTTTTTAGCTTTTGTCACTGTAGGATGCTTGTACTTATGTGGCACCAGATCAACCACTGGCTGGCTGCTTTTCTCTGTACAGCTTTTCCATTTGATGCTATGCCCTTATTTTCACTTATTTTCCCAAATAAGGAAGCAGAGGCCATAAGAGACAGTGAACCAAACTATAGGGTGCCCCAATTTCTGGCTTCTAAACTACAGGTAACGTTATATAGACATGCATGCCCATAGGGGCACAGACTGCTTTTTTAGGCTATATAGTCTCAGAGAAAAAGCCATTTGGCAGGTGTACTTATTCCAAGGGCAACTTAATTCACACTCTGCATGCCTTATTTTCCTGGTCTCTAAAATGAGGTGATGGTTCCTGTGGGTGCCATGAGGTTAAATGTGTAAAGAAGACATAGGCTTTGCTGAATACATCTGGCACTGAGTGTCTATCAGCATGGGTCACACTTCCTAGGACACGCAGAAGTCACAGGAAGGTTACAGAGCCTGGGACCGGTTAAGAACTGTCCAGGCCTCAGGAGCGATACAGCCCACCCCAGTTCTCAGGCTGTCACCAGCATTGACATGAACTAGCATGCATAGAAAATGTGGAAAGGTCACACTCTTCCCCTCCATGCAGATGACATGGCTCCAACTGTCCCCTCCCAGCTGAAAACCAGGCCCTCTTCTCTCTCTTCTGTCTCCAACCCTTATCTAGACATAGAGGATAAACAAGAGAAAAGCGACGACAGCACCAGGAAATGTCTTCCTTCCCTATTCAGCTTCAAAACAGGTGTGCACAACCCACGAACCTTCAGTGAATTCAGCTTTCCGGATCCAGATGCTGAAAACGGGGAACATTTGTCTTAAATTAGGAGCAAAAGTTAGGAAGTCAGTGATAAACCTGGTTGATGCTGTCAAAAATGAGACTTTTCTCAGTCAACAGCCGCTGCCAAGATGTGAGAGTTATGAGGGTTAACTTGCTACAAAATGAATTTCAATGAGCGACTACACTCGCCATTGAAAAGGGAGGTAGCTCTGTTGCCTAGCGTGCAAAGGTTCGGGCTTCAACCCCTGCACAGCAACAGTAAAAGTAGAGGTGCCTACCCTTCCAACTTGAATCACTCCATCCCCCTTACCCACACTCACCGCAGGGAGCATAGCGGTGAGAGGCGCCCTGCACCTCCTTGCTGGTGTTCCTCATGGCTTGGTGCTACTACCAAGTCCGTCCGTCCGCGTCCAGAAGAGAAAGGAGCTGCTGAGCTCGGGTTCTCCGGTATCTGGGCGCTGCTGACCCGCCCGCTGGGAGCAGAGGCCACAGGAGCAAAGTCAGCGTGCTCGCGGTTCCGCCCGCCTCCAGCTGACACACCTGCAGACGCCTCACACCCAAGAACTCGCACATCCACAGCAAGCGCACCGCAGCGTCAGTCCACTCTGAGCACCCAGAAGGGGAACATGCGACCGACCGAATATTCAGCCCTGGAGCATTCAGTAGGTACCCCGCAGTGGTGGGCAGCACCCGGCACGTTAAGCGGGGTAAACAGCAAGGGCACGTGCACGCCAGGTAGACAACAGGAGTGTACTAAGTGTCCTCCAGGTCATCACGGGCCATAGGGTTTACAGGATTCGAGGTCACCGTAAAAGGCTCCCGCTTCCCCGGATCTAGGCTTTACAGCCCCTGCCACTGAAGTTCCTACGGGGACTCCTAGACCAACTCCAAACTCCTAAAGAGACGCGGAACCACAGCAGCACGCGTCGCTAGGGCAACGGCCGGACTGCCAACCAGCGTGTGAGGCGCGTGTGCCCAGAGCCAATGGGAGCAGAGCGCAGGAGCCACCTGTCAACCGCCCTCAGCTTTGCGAGGTGGGGCGGAGTATGAGGGCGGGGCCAGCCCTAAATGCTCCCTCAGCAGCCGCGACCCCTCCCCGAGCTCCCTACTGGAACCCTAGTGACTTCAGGTTAGCTAGAAGCATCTACCACATTTTTCAGAGAAGAGTTAAGAAAGGAAGGAAGGAAGGAAGGAAGGAGGGAGGGAGGGAGGGAGGGAGGGAGGGAGGGAGGGAGGGAGGGAGGGAGGGAGGGAGGGGAAAAGAAAAGCTGAGCATGGTGACAAAGGTTTATAATTCCAGCGCTTTGGTGGGATGTTGAGGCAGGAGCATGAAGAGTTCAAGGTCATCTTGGGCTTCATACTGAGTTCTAGAAATTGGCATATGAGTGAGTCGCTTAAGTGCATTAAAGAAACACTGTTCCATGCTTGGGAAACTCAGATAATAGAAATTGCTTCATATTGGGTCAATATTCAAATTACCAAACAAGATATTATTTGGCTTATTTGCCAGAAATATTTGTTTTATAAGCCAAGATGTTGCTTTTTTTTTTTTTAAAGCTCTTAACCCTGCTTCTGCTGCAGAGTTTAGAGCTACGAACTTTGATCTCATGCTTACCCTGAAGACTTCACACCACTCTGCCCAAATAATGGACATAACTACTCACTTTCAATTTCTGCAAGAGTTAAGGATAAATTACCAGAACCGCCTAAGAAATTCTATTAACACCTGAGCTGTAAGTAGCTGTGGTTCCCTCTTGTTATTTTTTTCCTTTAAAGTTCAAGACCTTTTTGAAATGGTGTGTATTTGACAATGATCTATCTGATGTACTGTTTCTGTTACAGAAGTAAAGCCTTAGAAATCTAGCAGAAGGCAGATAATGTAGGACTGGGTGAGGAGGCAGGCAGGTGTGTGTGCGTGCGAGTGAGTGTGTTTGTGTGTGTCAGGACTTATGCCCTGACTGTACTCCACCCAGCTCTAACATATTATGATAGATCTCAGATATTCAGCTTGCCTGGTCACATAGTATCAGACCTCTATACTGAACAGCATCTTTACTGCACACACAAGCTTATCACCATACACAAGTGCTTCCATCTCTGGAGGCCTCACCATCACCTGACTTGAGGATCATAAGATCAAGACAGGTTATTTTTAGAAACAGCTGATCATAGTAACTGGAGCTGTGGTGACTAAGGCATGGCTTTCTGATTCTCTCTTCATTAATAGAAGATCTTGACATTTCTCTAAGAGTGAATCATCAGCTGAGTGGTGATGAAGGGCCTTCATGCTTTAAAAGACAGCTTTGACCTTTGGTCTATTACTGAGATGAAGGAATTTGTAGGTGCCATACCAGTAAGAATCTAAGCACATAGAAATGAAAAATGACTCAAGAATAGCCCGTTCCTACTTGGAGACATCTCAATGTCTTTATTTCCTAAGTTTCTTCACATGTGCCTCTGTCATAGAATGGCTTCGGGCTTTAGAAGTGTGGGATATCCCTTGTCTTGTAATCTCACATTACGGTCTTTTTATCTAACTTTGTTGGTAGACATATGTAGATATTTCTTGCTTACAAGCATTTTGAGAAAAGTGTGTATGGATGGATTCCAAAGTTTCAGTCTTCTGGCCTTTCCTAGTCTCTGTTGGTTCCCCCTCATTGAATGCAGCTGTGTTTTTGAACCAGCAAGACTTTACATCTTTCCAATTCTTCACATCCTTGCTACCAATTACTACCATGCTAGGAAGCTAAAAGGCCTAGTGTGAGCCCCTTCCCGACTTTTTCTCCTGCTGTAGTTCCCAGATCTCCCTTTGATCAGGCAAAGTAAAAATATAGCACATTTTCACAAACCAAGACAATGTTTTAATTTGTCATTTTCTCTTCATGGATAAATCAAACTACTTTAAAGGTCAAATTCTTCATTTTGACATACATTTATGTCATGTTTGGGTTGTCATCCTAATCAGAAAAACAAGGGCATTGTGTCCACAGCATCAAGAGAAGCCCAGTCTCTGTAAGCACCTTCTTCAGTGCCCTGCAGGAGGTATTAAAGCCTTTTTGCTTAGGTCAAGACTTAAAAAAAAAAAAAAAAGGATATTTTGATGTTTTGATTTTGAATTATAACTAACACAAATTTTATAGATATTAGTTATACAATTTGGCATTCAGTATATGTGTATATTGTGGAATGATTACCCCAACTAAACTAATTACCATATCCATAACCTCATGCTTGTCATGAGGGGGGAAGAACACTTACCTTCTACCCTTTGAACAGATTTCAGGCAGAATGGTTAGCAATAGTCACATGCTGCATGCAGGCTCCTCATGGTCTTAGAGCTGTCTCAGGCTGTGTTTGACAGCCTCTCCAAATTCCCAGGTGCCCTCACCTCTCAGCCCCTGGTAACTACCACCTTGCTTTCTGCTTCTGTAAATGTGATGTTCTGCATTCCTCATGTGAAGCTGCAGAGTGTGCTCTGTGTCTGGCTCTTTTCACTGGGTTAATTTATGTTGTCATATATGACTTCCTACTTTTTATAGTTGTGTATATTCCCCCATCTGTGTGTGTGTATGTATATGTGTGTGTGACTTATTTTTTTGCAGCCATGTGTTGTGATTTCTTTCTCACCATTTAATTGAGTTTTCCTTTTGTGTGTGGTATCTGTGAAGCTTACATGAAACATTGCAGTTAAAATGACTTATCTAAGCAGATAACTTCCATAGCATGCAGAGCTACATTCCCACTTTCCCTGACATCTCTTTATAGGAGTGTCATATTTTGTATCTTTTTAAACAACAAGGTATGGTGGTTACGGTTCTTTGATCCTCTAGCTTGTGTACTCCAATTGCTTTGACTGCCCGCCATCCTTCCAATGTTACTGCATTCAGAGTTCACCTCCAAATGTTTATCATTGAGTTTTCCATTTGCACAATAGTACCTAGCTCCCTGCCATTTAAACTTGAATGATCGCCTGGGTTCCTTATAAGGTGGGTCTTACAAGTCTTGACCAGCATTAATGACTCTCTCTGCTTTGCTTCTCATGGTGTGTTTTTCTCACTCGTTTATGTTTTTAAATATCAAAATTTCTAATGTCTATCAGCATTCTGCCCACACATATGTATGAGTCACGTGCATGGAGAAGCCCACAGAGGCTAGAACAGTGGTCCTCAACCTTCCTAATGCTGTGACCCTTTAATAGTTCCTCATGCTGTGGTGACCCCCCAACCATAAGATTACTTCATAGCTACTTCATAACTGGAATTCTGCAACTGTTACGAAGCAATGGGTGGGTGAGATCTGCCATCACAGATAGCAAAAAGGCCACCAGGTTGTTAACAATATCCTCTCCTAGCTTTCTGGACAGGAAAACAGGTATTTTTATCTTCCCCATTAAGAAGCCATTGTGTTTCTTGGTTCCCCTAATGATGCGTGGGCACAAGAACCTTTGTGTTCCCAACAGGTTGTATTTCAGGAGTCCATCTTACTTAACCTTGAAGCATTACAAATCCAATTGACCCAGTCAGTGCCAAGATAGAGAACATTACCAATTGGTGTTTATTTAAATAATCTATCTCTTTCTCTTTTCTCCTTTGGTGCTCTCATCACACACCTATTCATGTATATGCTGATTACTTTCAAACGAACTATCTTTTTTCTTATTATTTATTTTTAGTTATAATTTTTATAGATTATTATTAGTGTGACTGTGTGTAGAAGACAGAGGATGATTTTCAGAAGTCAGTTTTCTCTTTCCACCTCATCCATAGCATGAACAATGAAAACCCAGAGACAGATATGGGGGGATGGGGGCTGAAAGATCAGAGAAGCAAGGCTTCTCTACCCTCCTCATATCCCTCTCTAGGGCTGTGATTAAAGGTGTGCACCACCACCGCCCAGTTTCTATGGCTAACTAGTGTGGCTGCTGGGATTAAAGGTGTGTGCCACCACTGACTGGCCTGTATGGCTGACTAGTGTGGCCAATATCAGGTTTGCACTCTTTATCAGGCACGCTTTATTTGTTAAACGATAAACAAAATATCACCACACTCATCAGGCTCCCTGGATTTAATTCAGGTCGTAGGGTTTGCAAGGTAAGGACTTTCACTCACTGAGCCATTTTTCTGGGCTTCAGGTGGAATGACTCTGACTTTTGATTCTTCAGATTACTGAATCTGTTGCCAAGTCTCTCTATGAAAAAATGTCAGGCTGTGACGACAAATTTGGTTCAAGGATTTCTGATAATTTGCTCCTGTGCCTATTTTATTGAACATCTTGTTTTGCCTATGTGCTACTGTTCTGATGTTGTCTCATTATTTGTTCTCTATGCACTTTACCTGGTTTCTTTAAAATCAGCATTTGTATTATTATTTATTTTTTAGTCAGGCAAATAGTAGATTTCCATTTCCTTGGGGTCATTGACTTGAACTTTATTGACTTTGAAGTTGAAGTTGTCTGATTCTTTGTCATCCCTGTAGACTTGCCCAGTGTCTATGCCTCTGATGGAACAATCACATTCCCAGTCTTTATATACTGATATCTGCTGGCAAAGACCTCGTCCTGGTGTGTCTTCAGGTGGATAGAATAGCATCTAGAGCAAGCTTTAGTCAAACAAAAGCTTGACTGCTGTTGTCTTCCATTGTATAGCTTTTGCTAGAGGCTAAAGTATGCCTGGCACTAGGTTGGAATGCCTCCAGCTCACAGATCAGTGGAATCAGCCCTGTGGCGAACCAAGGTCAAGGTCCATAGGGCTATCTTCAGAGGCAGGTCAGTTATTTGGTATGTGAGCAGATACAGGTCCTGTGGGGTCTGCAGGGGATTTCTCTGTTTTACTAAGAGGGTCCTCAAGGCAGTCTCTGCTGTCATTTAGGAACAAGTGAAGGAGACTGGGAACCAAGGCAAAGGGCTGCTTCAGAGCTCACAGCTAGAACTAAAGTGAGCAGGCCTACCCCTGGGGATAAGGTGGGCTCATTTCCCAAGAGGCTCCTGAGTGGGCATAACAACTGCTCTTAGACCTCAGTTCATAGACTGGAGTAGAGTGACAGACACATGTCAGAGTCTTCCATAAGATAAAGACCAGTGGGACTTTCTCTTGGGAGATGGATGGGCATGTTTCCCATTGGGTATCTGGCTAGACTGGATGAACCAAATCTTGGCTGAAGCATTCTAAATCTGTTCTACAGAGATGCTTCAGGATCGGCCCCAGGCCAAGATGAGTGCCTCTCCTGCAATCCCTGTGTGGCCAGGATTACCAGGACTATCCGGACTGTTCACAGACTGTGTGGCTTAGGGGAGGGCTCTTACTTGGTCTCAGATGACTTTTGTGTTCACAGGTGGAACCGTGGACAGCATGTAATCGAATCTAAAGTGGGGGAAAGTAATTGCTGGGTCTCTAGCTGGGGCCACGGTGAATAATTCTGCCACTTGGCAGAATGAGCCTTCCTTCTCACTGTGTCCAAGTTTTTACTGGTATCTCCAAACTTCGCAACCAGATCCCCAAAGCTAGTAAGAAAGCACCATTATCCATAATGTCCACCAAAACTATAGATGTTGGGGATATGAGGAGACATTTTTCTTGAGTAATCTTGCTGACACTGCCCCCCCCAAAAAAACTTCACAGTTTAAAATAGATATGACCAGAGGCTATTAAGTGTTGAAAGTAAAATAGTTTGTCACCCTAGAATTGTATGGTCCAAATAAGCCAGGTCACCCTGTCGGACAGCAATTCTGTTTCTAGATATGTGACTAAAGTGCACTCTGGTATGCATGCAGAAACAGGCAACGGACATGGCTTTTATCACTGAAAACAAACTAAGCGTATATCTGTACGGAAACAAGTAAATGAACTCTGTATAATAAAATACCATAGAGCAGGAGGAAAGACTGAACTGGGTTCATATATCTCAGGGTATGTTAATACAAAATTGTTTTCTCATCCCTATTTTATGGAAAGCAGGAAGCCATATGTATATAGATTATCATTTATTTTGTCTAAAACATAACATGTATTATTTGTAAATATGTTTTTAAAAATTATATGGAAATACGGTGCCAGTTTTTAAATTAGTTATCTACCGGGGAAAATGAGAGGAACGGAACCGGGGGTGGGGGTAGGGGGGGGTTGGTTCTTACATTTTGTTTCTGATATCTTTGAGTACTGAAACAAATGTTACAAAGCATCCAGAAATTTTTCTAGAAAAGCAGTAGACACATACAAGATCTCTGCATTGTCCATTAGGTTTGAAATCTGATACAGTAAGGCATAGGATGCTGAGACACTCAGAGAGGCTTATGTGCACACAACCTCTGCATGGGTGTGGTGACCTGTTGGCCATTGTGAGGTGTCACAAAGAATGATGCAACAGTGAGTCACTGGGCTTTTCAAAATTTGCTTGCTCACAGTTTGGCTGTTGGGCAAGCAGTATCTGTCAAGAAGACATACATTCAAAACCATACGTATGGCTTCCTGCTTTTCCATAAAATAGAAAATAGAGACGAGAAAACAGTGTTCCGCATTCTATGAGCTCTTGTGGGAGTAAATGAGTGAAAGAACAAAGTAGAGGAAGGATGCACTGCCCTTTCGGGACTGTTCTGAAGAACCCAGTGGCAGTTCGAGTATTGATGTCCCACAGTGAGAGCAAGAAGCCGGGACATGAACCTGTATGTTACTTTGCAGATTGATTTCAAGGCATTTGTTCTTTTCTGATTTTGGAGACAGGCCCTCATACCATAGCTCAGGCTGGCCTTAAAGTTATGACAATCCATCTGCCCTAAATGCTAGACTTACAGACATCTGCCAGCATCCACTACTGAGATCTAATCTGCATGGTGTACATCGATGCCCTGACTATCTGTAAAATAACCCAACCCAAAAATTCCTTTGTGGAGAAAACCATTTCCAGTTTCTCCAGAAGCTTGCAATCATAGTACTTCCTATGTTACTCCAGCCATTTGATATTGAGTACTGGTTAATCACGGTGGAAAAGGGAAAAGGATTAAGACAGAGGAGTCATGCTTTTTGGAAGACTGAACATTGGCAGTGGTAACAAATCATACAGATGGCATGGTCTATGGCCGTGGGCCTCATCCAGGATCCAGGCTATATAGACCTTAGTGCTGGACTTGGCACACTAGACCAGAGAGGTATATTCTACACCTGTGGGTGAGAATGAACAGCCTGAGGGTTGATGTACATTTTTGCAAATAATTGAGCTCCCTCTGGTAAGAAATTTCTCCTAAGGGGAGAAGGCCCTGTCTAGTGGGCAAGCCAAATCTGCTCCCTGCTCCCCACCCCACGAGGATACACTGTAATGACCACCATTGAAAACAGAGACAAAGGCACAGAAGTAAGGCTTGCTGTTACAATAAAAGGACTGTTACATGGTGACCTTGCTCAAGAAGAGCAGCCCTGAAAGTCACAGTAATGGCACATGCTTGCCTTAAGTGTCAGGATCCCACAGGCTCGGGGAAGGGGTAGAAAGGATTTCACTAAGAGTGGCCTGGCAGCCAGGCTTTTTAAGTTAAGAGGAAAACTAAAATTAATGAAAAAAAAGAAAACCCTACATTTTGGAAAAATGCAGTAATTCAGTAATTTTCATCGGATTCAGCCTACCAAAGAGTTGTAACTAACACCTACACAGCACTCTTTAATCCACTCTCACAGCATGGTTTCAGAAACCTCAGCCTTAGAGGAAAAGGGGTTAGGAACCCTCTCCTCCTGGTTGCTTTCAGCCCTAAATTCTGCCCCGCAGCTGGGAGTGGTGGAGGAGGAGTCAGGCTGCTTAGGTTCTGTATCCGGGGAATTTAAGTTTCTCTTTGTGAGCTGTTGTTCACAGAGCCCAGTTGACATCACACCTGTAAGGAGGGTGCTGAGAGACTCACCTCCTACACCCTTGGTCAACTAACTTGCAATGTAAGTACTCTGTTTACCGAAGTTGAACGTGATATTAAAGGAGTAAATTGTAAAGAAATGGGGGTGTCAACATAGAGATTGCATCATTTCCAGAGAAGGTCACCCTCTTAGCCCTTCTTCACAACTCTGCCTTTCAGCTGATGAAGTCTAGTTCAGAGTCATCAGATGAGATGCTGAGAGCCATATTATGGAGTGACTTGACCTGCTGGGACAGGTGTCACTGTCTCTCCTAAGATCTGATGCAGAGCTTCTACTGTTGCATCTACTTGCCACCTACCAGTTACAAATGATTTGTCATTATCTGGTTTTTCTAACTCATAAGGACCAATTTTCAACTTGCCAACCTAGAATTGTCAGATCAAATGTCTTTGGCATCCTTTTTTCCTTCAGGATTTTTTTTTTTTTTTTTTTTTTTGAAGGTTGAGTTTTGGAACTTGGGGTATAGCTCAGTGGTAAGGTACTTGCCACTCGTAGGAATGGTGAGTTACAACTGCACAAAACAGTGTGACCGTTCAACACATAGTTCTGAGGAAGGATAGAAAGATGGAGCTGTCCACATACGTCCATTTACAGAAATAAAAAGCAGAGAGACCTGATGAGCGGGGATAGAGCTCAAAGGAGACACTTTCAGAGTGGAAGTTGTAAACAGAGGGTTTGTTCATGGACGAGATATACTGGTCTTGGGCTACAGTAAAAAGCCAGAGGCTGGGTGACTAAAAAATGGCATTGATTTTTCTCATAGTTTGAAAGCCAAGGAAGCTCAAAGCCAAGGCTCCAGCTGACCATGGCTCTGGTGAAGGCTCTCTGCCTGTCTGGAAAAGAGGCCTATTCAGGTGGCACGTGGACAGCCATCTGTTCTCTTCTACTTATATAAGGATACCAGTCCTAGGAGTTTAGGGACCAGTCTGGTGAACACACTTAACATAAGTTATTTGTTATGTAATGTATTAATCATTTTTAATTTCTGGAAAAACTTTGTTTTCTCCAAAACATTTAAAGATCATAAATAGGAACCCAATAGCATCACAGTACATGCGTGCGAAGGAGAAATGTGAATGTATATTCACATACACCATCTTGAAAATTACTTTCAGTTTCAAAAATCACAGATCAAAAATCAAAGAAATCAAAGAAGCTTAATTTAGAGCAACCAGGAGTAGACGAATCAAACTTGATGACTTGAGTGTTCTGACTAGTTTAAAGTTCAAGTTAAAAGTTAATAGCAATGGATTACATTGTTAATTTTTTTTTTCAAGACAAGGTTTCTCAGAAGCTAAGTACGGTCAAATTCTCAATGCTCTTTGTTCTTTGCAGGTTGACTCGATCATGGAAGATTATCCTAAGTACACTGTTTACATCAACTTTTTTTCTTGTTGGTAAGTCTTAGCAATACTCTTAAGCTGATTCACAGATTATATGGTATTTGAAGGCTTAATGGGATGACTCGTGTTTGACACATTGGAAGTTACCCACACATTCTCAAGTTTCTTTCCCCCTTTTCATGTCCCATTATAAAAGTAATAGAAGCTGTTTCTTAGGAAATTTTAAGAACTATCTGTATTACAGTTTATTTTTCTATTCATATTTAAAATATCTTTTTTCATACAATATACTCAGGTTACTATTTCCCCTCCACTAACTCCTCTGGGACCCTTCCTTGCTTCCCTCACTTCAGAATTCATGCCCTATGCTTCTCTAGTTAGAGAACAATCAGTCAGGTATGTAAACAATAACAATAGAATAAAATAAGATAAAGTAAACTGGAATAGGACAAGACAAACAAACTGAAGAGACAAAGAAAAACACAAGAAACATACAGATTAGGAGACACATGTGTGCATGCCACAAAACTGGAAGCATGTATGTGTGTATGAGAGAGAGAGAGACAGAGAGAGAGAGAGGGAGAGAGAGAAGGATGGACAGAAAGGGGTGGAGAGAAAGGGGGAGGAAGGAGGGAGGGAGAGAGAGAGAACACAGATGTCGCTTGGAAGTAAAGAATCTCTTATTCTTATAAGAATCTCTTTACTCTTATACCAGTGAGATGACTCCACGTGGTAAAGTTCCCTGCTACAAGCCAGACAACCTGAGTTTGGTCTCTGGATTCAGAGTGGAAGGAGAATGCTGACTCCATCATTGTCTCCTGACTTCTACATAGATGCTGTGGCTCAAACACACTCACCCACACCCACATAGATTATAGATGATATATAGATACAAGATAGGTAGTCAGAAGAGGAAATAATCTCCAACATGCTTCCTGAAGAAACAGCTGGTATTTTTACCTGTTCTAAATTTGATTGACAGAACTTAGAGATTTTTTTCAATTTTTAAAAGTTTTGATTCACATACTATACATAATAATATTTTATCATAGTATTTTAATGCATGCATACAATGTTTTAGCACTAGTTATTTTAAATTTTGATTATTTTTGAGAATTTCACAAATGCATAATGAAATTTCCCCTCTCCAGTTCTCTCATGCTCCGCTCCCAACTTGTTTTTTGAAAACCACTAAGTCTAGTTAGTGCTGCCCATATGTATATAGGTGTGGGCCCATCCTACTACAGGATGCATGGGAAACCTACCAGCCTTACCTCCAGCAACCCATAGCTCCTCAGGAAGGGAGTGGAGCCTGTATATCATCTACCCCATCTATGACAGAGTTTTGGTCAGCTTGACTTTGTGTAGGTCCTGTACAGGTATTCATAACTGCTGTGAGACCGAGGCTGTCATGGTTGTGTCATGTCAAGAAGATAGCATTTCACAGCTCTGCTCCCCATCCTATAGCCCTTACATTCTTTCTACCTCCTCTTCTCTGACTTTCCCAAGTCTTTGTGATAGTGACATTTACACAAATATTCCACGTAGGGCTTGTTACTAAGTTTCTTATCCTCAGTTCTTTGATCAGTTCACCATCTCTCCATTGACTCCTCTTAAGTACAAATAAAAGCTTCTCTGACCATGGTTGAGAGCAGCCCATGTCTATGAGTGTAAGCATAAATATTTAGAAGACATTTTAACAACATGGCTATTTGGCAAGCTAACAATGACACCTCCTTCCTAGATCCCAGGATCTCCCCACCCGTGGGCTTTTGACCAAAATTATAGTACCGAGGATGAAATTCCCTCCTGTGGAGCAGGCCTCAAATCCAATGAGAAAGTGGTTAGTTTCTTTATAGATCTCATGCCACTGTTGCTCCAGTAGGCACATTTTGCCTGGCAGGTCAATACTGCATGGTCTCAATGTTCCCTGTACGGATATGCTTCCAGTAACATAGCCCAGATATCAAGCAATATCTCTTCAACATTCTTCCACTTCCTAGTACTACCAAGCTGAAGACCAAGCCTTTGACACATTAGCCTTCCGGTGTACTTGTATAACTATAATATCATCTTTAAGATACACATTGAAGCCTTCTTAATGGCTATAAACTGCTGCTTTGTATTTCCAATTTCAAGCTGGCCAACTTGCCAACACATGTGCAGGCTCTGCTTAAACACCTTTTCATACAAATGTCAGAACTGTCACTGTTTTTGTTTTCTACTGAGTTGAAGTGATAATTCAGTGCTATTGGGTGTACTGTGTTGGGCAACTACCTCCTTGATCAAGGTACTCATGCATCTAATCTCCTAAAGGAAATTCTTTGTAATCCAAACCAGTAGTTTCCTGTTCTCTCTTCCACAAGTCTGAATCCTGCCTCTTTGCCTAGCTCAAATATGTGATTAAAAATGACAATTTTCTTGTATGTTTGTGTTCATTAAACCGAATTTTTGAAGGGTATCTTTACTGTAGAGCGTATTAGTTCTTTGTTCATTACTGTGGCTCAACAGTATTGCATTGTTCAAAAAACCAATTGTCTATTGATGGACATTTGGACTATTTAAATAGTCCCTCCTTGAATTCCTAATTTCTAAGACTCCTCTCTTTCACACTCACAGAAATGCTTATTAATACATGTACGGTGTTTTATAAGTGTGTCTCGATAAGTTCTTTAATGAGTTTGCCTTTTTCCTTGAAGGACTTCAAAATCATCAGTGGTTTAAAGAAACAGAGTTTCCTCAAAAACCCAGACAATTATATACTGTAATTGCAGAATATGGCTCCCGGCTCTATAATTACCAGGTGATGTTTCATTAAATTCTTGTTGCATGTTACTCATTTAAGACTGGGTTTTCCACAAGGTGAGTTCAGCTTGCATTATATTCTCAATTTTGGGAGAACAGCCAATGGCAATCGGGGTTCTTCTAAGTGGTTTTATGACTAAGAAATCTCCCCAATTCTTCATACCTTCTGACCTTTCCAGACTCTCCGGGAGAAGCTCCAAGAGAAGGGAGAAAGACACATTATTCCCTATGACTAACCTTCCCCCATCCCTAGTCAGCATAGTGCTTCCCTTTGCCTGGAAGCTCCCGAGATCTCTGTGAGGTGTTCACTATCCACGCTATACTCCATAAGCACCTCCTAGCATCCCTGACTGCTCCAGTCCCCTCCCTCCCTCCCCCCCTTTCCCCTTCCCCTCCCTCCTTCGCCTCTCTTTCTTTCTTCTTTCTCCTTGTTTGTGTTTTGTTTTTTGAGATAGGGTTTCCTCTGTGTAGCCTTGATTTTCCTGGAACTCTGTAAACCAGGCTGGCTTCACACTCAGAGATCTGCCCGCCTCTGCCTCCCATGTGCTGGGGTTAAAGGTGTGCACCACTTCCCCCACCTACTTTGCTTTCTATTGCTGACATCAACACCATGACCAAAACAGCAAGTAGAAGAGGTTTATTTGGCTTGCACTTCCACAACACAGTTCACCATTGAGGGAATCAGGGCAGGAACTCAAGACAGAAACCTGGATGTAGGAACAGACACAGAGGTAATGGAGGAGTGCTATTTATTAGCTTGCTCCCCATGGTTTGCTCACTTTGCTTTCTTGTACATCTTAGAACTTCCTGCCCAGGGTAGGTGCCATCCACAGTGGGTTAGGCCCATCTACATCAGTCATTAATCAAGAAAATGCCCGATGCTTGCCTACAATTTGACTGAGATATTTTCTCAATGGAGGTTTCCCTTTCCCAACTTGTTTCAAGTTGCCAGAAACCTAATGAGCACACAAAACCTGGTCCCTGATGAAACCCCACAGACAGAGTTTACCTGAGATAACCTCTACAGCCCCAGGTCTTCACTGGTCCTGGACCAGGAGCTGGCCCAGATCCTAAGCCATCCCCAGGAAAACTGATGTGCATCCAGAGTGAGCAGTGGGGTACCCCACCTCCAGAAACAGCAAATCCTGGAGTTCACAGTAAATGTCACTTTCTATTAGATGTCTGAATAAGGCCACCTTCCCAGACATGGTAACAACGGCTTACATGGCAGGCCAAGGAAGACACACATGCAAGGTGCTCTTACATCCCTTGGGAAATTCCAAGGGTCCAAGTATGACTTCAGAAGAAAGACAACTGAGTGAAAAAGCAAGACTCAGAATTATTTCTCTCCTCTGTTTCAGGCCAGACTTCGAATGCCAAAGGAGCAAGTAGAACTTTTAAAGTGAGTGGGGTTTTGTATGCACCATTCTCTGCTGACTCCAAACACTGAAATATTGGGGGCTTGTTTTGGGAAATTTATAAAATAATTTTCCTGTATTAAAGCTTACATTTCATGCCAGTCAAGAGCACTTTTTCTGGCTATGTCTTCTTACCCCCAAGAAGCCAAGTTTGCTTAAAATACCATATTCAGCTGAGCCTGGCATGGTCCTATAATTTTAGTACTCAGAAGGCTGAAGCAGCAAGATCCCGATTTTGAAGCTACAACTGGCAAGTCTGTCTCAAATAAAAGTGAATTCATAAATAGGTAAATGAATATAAATGATAAATGTCCCAAGTGTAGACATTGTGTGGCTCTCCAGGCTACAGCTTGAAAAACACTTCTGTCCACTACACTTGGAATTCAGGACAACCCAGCTTGCATCCTAGGGATGACATTAAAATTTAGCATTCCCCTGTATGAAGTCACCTGACTGAGGACAAGTGAGGTTGGTTGCCTCCTGACTGCTCAGTGTAGAAAAAGCCAAGCAAGGATTCCCTCTGACTCGTGTCTTTTGAGTGCCCACATTGCTTTCCCTACACAATGAAGTATAACGAGCAGACAAAGGCACACCCCCGCCTTCCCCTCCCAGAGAATCTTTCTGTCTGCCCCTAAGTTGACTCCTTTGCCCATTGCTGCCCCTGAAGTTGTGGGCAGGAATTTCACTGCTTCCCTCTTTCACCTTGCGGCTCTTCTGCCTACAGGAAGGAAAGCCAGACTTTGGAGAACAATTTTCGTGAAATATTGATTTTAATTGAGCAAATAGGTGTTCTGAAGGCATTGCTTAGAGACATGAAGGACGGCGTACACAATCACAGCTGGTCTGTCCCCCGAGACGCTGTGCAGGACCAGGTCACCACTGCCGTTCTAGATGAGGCAAGGAGGTCTGGGGCATGGAGGGGGCTGGGACATTTAGCCCGAGGATGCTCATGCCATTTCTTTCACTAACTGTGTACCAACTGACATTAGCTACATCCTCTGGGACCCCCTGATTCACTTCCCAGTGCTGTGTTACAGAGAGGACATTGAGTTGTGATACAACTTAACTCCCCACAAGATAACAGAACTGGTGATCTGTGAATGTCCATAGCAAATACTTACCAGAAAGAGGTTTCCATTCGGCCTGAGAACTAAGCCCCTGGTGAGCTCCAGACTCAGGTCAGAAGTTTCTCTGCATTGCTTTCCCATTGCCTGTACCACTACCAGTTTCTCCTCCCATGTCTATGTTTGAAATGTGTAGAAACATAGCCTTCCATGACTTCCAGGCTCCATCCACTCTGTCTTTGTAACTGTGGCACTGTGTTCGAGTTAGTCAATGATAACTGTTGTACCTGCTCAGGCTACTTAGTTATTTTTGAACAAGGGTATCCTTCAGAATCCAACACTGACTCAAGTGGGTGAAAAATTGCTATTAGAAGCAACCATCTGACCTTGTAAGCTGCCTGATTCTCAGAGAGCTATAGAATATTCCAGTCTTTGTTGCTAAGTACAGGACACAGCAAGCAACACACCTCCCATCCAATGGGAGGGTACCAGGGTGTAATGGAGAAGGAAGGTTTAGAGGGAGCCCCAGGTCCATCTTTCTGTGTGACCATGGCCTCAATCATACTTTTTGGCTTTAGCTCTTTGAGTTTTCTGAGACAGTCACTCCCGCAGTGCTGTGAACAAGACATCCAAGTGTGTCAATGCCTACCCCTGAGACCACCCGAGAGCCGTCAGAATTCTTCAGATTAAGGAGTTCAGGCCCAAGACCATGAAACAAAGTGTAAAAGTGCAAGGAGTTGGTAGAGATTAATAATAGAAAACTTTTCTTCCAATCTTTACAGGAAATGTCAAACTTGGTACATTATGTACTTAAAAAGTTCAGAGGGGATCAAATACAGATGGCTGATTATGCCCTGAAGTCAGCTGGTGAGTACAGGGGAAAAAATGAAAGATGAATGTTAAAAAAAGAAGAATGCTTAAGACCATTTAAAATTCTTTATCAGAAAATGACACAGAACCCTATGACATTGAGAAGGGCTGAAATTAACAAACTAGATGTTAAGGAAGATATTAGAAACGATTGTCATTGATTGCTTCCAGAAATCCATTAGCATGTATCTAAAAGGACCTGAGAGAAAGCCGAGATGACACGAGGTAGTAGATCAAGAAGCTCAGCAGATGGGCAACACTGTCTATTATATGACCCAAAATGAGCTTATAGGGATGCTAAATGCGTTATTGTAGACTAAAGGCCGGTGTTTAAAGGTGACTTACAAAGTAGTGTGTTCAACATCATCCAATTGAAAATAAACCCTAAGAGCTTACATAGGCAGAGAGGAAGAGGGGGCCAATGTAAGAGATAATATTGATTAGTGAACAGATTTCTTAACTTGTGCAGACAGACCATCAAAAGCCATTCAATAAGAAGTGGATAATAGCGGGGGTGGGGTGGGGGTGGTGGTGGATAGTGATGTGCTATGTAGAGAAACAAGTGCTTAAAACCTACCTGAAGAGAAAACTGTGTCCAGGGCTATAGCTCAGTGATGTAGTGCTAGGCATGCTGTACACAAGGCCCCTGGGCACTGTGATAATCGTGCTATGAATTAGTAAGTAAATAAAGAGGAAATTCTAAGCTCAAATGGTCCACTTGCCCTCTTTATTACTTTGTAATATTTATTTGTTGTTTGTTTGTTTGTTCATTTGTAGAGACATAGATTCACTATGTAGCTCTAGATGTCTTGGAACTCACTATGCATGCAAACCAGGCTAGCTTCAAACTCACAGAAATCTGTCTGCCTCTGCCTCACAAGTACTAGAATTAAAGGTGTGAGCCACCATGCCTTAGCTTCATTTTGTGATGTCTTACACAAACTGAATCCAGGAAGACACAAGAATGACAATAAATGTGTGTGGATAGACTTATCCTTTGAAATCTTACCTGTGTTGTTTGCTATATTAATACATTTAACAATCTGGTCATTGCTGTGATAGGTTTAGATAAATTAAAATCATTTAGCAACATTCATTTATTATTAAAAACTCTCAACACACCAAAGAGATTTTCTTCAACCTGACAAAGAACTCCTGCATAATTCCTTATGTAAATGCACAGGGATTTATGGGAGACGGAAAGATTTCCACTAAGGTCAGAAACAGTAAGGATGTCTGCCCTTACCATTTCCAAAAATGTCCTAAACCATGTTTCAAGACAATAAATACTACAAAGGGAGAGAGAGGGAAGACACAAAAGCAGGCAAATTAGAACTAACATATCAAACTTATAAAAAAAAGTGATTGCTAACACAGAAGAAACAGGGCAAAATGTCTACTAGAAAAGCATGCTTGTATTGGTATGTGTGTGTGTGTTTGTGTGTGTGTGTGCATGAGAAACTGGAACATTTGGTAGCTGGTTTCCAGGATTATTACAAAGGCCCAGAAATCAAGAGATAGTGGCATAGAACACAAGTTTAGAGTCAGTCCCCTTAGGCTTGGTGAATTGGGTTTCGGTAAAACAGAAAAGTCAAGCCAGCAGGTCTGATAGTCATTGCAAACTAAAACTTAGCCATAATTTTCAGATATTAACCTAAAGTCTGCATATAAGGCATGGAGTTATACAATATCTAGGACAAAAAGTAAAGGAAAAGAGTGTAGTTTTGTAATTCATTATTTTGTTGCACTGGGGACTAACTCATGGTCTGTTGCCTGTGAGATGAGCTCTTTACCATAGAGCTATATTTAGACCTATATTTCCCTAAAATTTCATTTTGAGGCAGGGTCTTGATAAGTTGTCTAGCTGACCTTGAACTCACATCATAGCCCAGGATGGCTTTGAGCTTCCAATTATCCTTCATCAGCCTAGGAAAGGATATCTTAGAGAGAGCACTGAAACAAAATAAAAACCTAAAAACTAAATGAATGGAAATAATGAAAAAGTATGAGCTTCTTCAAAACCCACAATTCAGATTTTTTTCATGTGGGGATTGTAGGGGGGAATCAGACTTATATTGGTTTCATATGCAGATGGGGTTTTCCCGTCCAGTTGGTCATACAAGCAGGAATGTTAATTGTTAAAATAAAAGATGCCTGCTTCAATTTTAGTTTTAGAGAATGGAAAGCAATTGTAGGATAAAGATGCTCCAAATATTGCATAACATAAGACTGTGACTCAAAACTTTTTAAGATACGTTTTAAGTGTGTGTGTGTGTGTGTGTGTGTGTGTGTGTGTGTGTGTGTGTATGTGTGTGTGTAGTGCTGATGGAAGCCAGAGGAGTCATTGATGTCCCTGGAGCTGTAGTCAAAGGTGGCTATGAGCTACCTGCAGTAGATTCTAGGAATTAAACTCAGGCCCCCTGGAAGAGCAGAACACTCCTAACCACTGGGTCATCTTCCTAAATATAATTCAGTATTTAAATTTCAACTGGGAGATGTATATTTCCTCTTGCTGCATGTGGCAATCAAGGGCCCACATTTAATATTTCAATCCGTGCTATCCTAGAATAAAGTTCATAAACTAGATTCCTGGGCAAGAACATGGTCGTTAGCATAAGCTCGTGGACCTCAGTGTTATACTGTGCAACTCCAGTGAAATTTAAAGAAGTAATTTGCATTTTAAAATTTCTCATGTCTCAGATAAGTTTCCTTCCTAAAATGAAATACTTGAAGGGATAATGTTTAGTCAATACTTTTATATTTCTTTGATTACAATTAAAGCCCCTACAAAAAATTAATGTCTGATGAATTTACATAATTATTGTTAAAAATAACACGAAGGGCAAGCATGTCGTGTGGAGTTGCTGCTTTTTCCATTTTTGGGTAAACAAGGCTGACTGAAAGTCTGGTTTTCTGTGTGATGATAAATACAATACACATTAATTTTAGTTTTGATTCAATTGTCCCAGTACTGAAGATTTTTTTAATCATACGTTTCAGAAATTTCATGAAACTAGAAAAGGCAAACATGACTTTCTATCAGGATATGGTCTCACATGTCTTTATTCCAAGCACTTAGGAACCTGAGGCAGGAGGATTGCTACAAGTTCAAAGTCTGTCTTCAGTACCTAGTGAGACCCTGTTTCAAAAGAAACACATGAGCAAACACCTTTCTGAAAACAATAGACCATCAGTGGTGCCAGCGTGACTGAGTCCTGAGTGTGAATCTAACCGTGATTTGTCCACTAATAGCTTTCCAGGGGTAGCATTAAAATCCAGATGACACGTATTCAGGTTATGCATTAAGTTTAAAATATTTTGCAATTTTAGGAGCCTCTGTCATTGAAGCTGGGACCTCAGAAAGTTACAAGAACAATAAAGCAAAACTGTACTGGCATGGGATAGGGTTCCTCAATTATGAGATGCCTCCAGATATGGTTCTTCAGGTAAGTGTAAATAGGACGATGTCACATCTAAAAATTTTGTTATTAAGGACAGTGATTGTATTAATATTTAAAACGGAGGCAAGAACATCCATGCTGCCTGCAGAACCTAGACACTTCTTGCATTTCTATACCTTAACACCATACAAAGTATTTCTCTTAGAGTCCTGAATTATCATTAACTATATGTTTTTAAAATCAGAAAACTAGACTTTGTCAGAACATGGAATTCCACACCTTTCATTTCCATTGATTCTGTGACCTCTTTTCCACTGAAAACTCTATTCAGCAAACATCTGTTAAAAGAGGCTGTCCTCCAAATGCCAGTCTGGCAGTAAGTTCTATGCCAATCACATGTTCTCACAGGGTTGACTATAACAGAAATTTCCACTTAGCGTTTTCGTTCACTTGGAAGATTCATGACTCCCAACACACTTTTGAACCACATCTTAGAAGCTGCTTTCAAATTTAAAAATATCTTCAGAGAGAGACCTACAATTCTTCTTGCCAGGTTACAATTTTACCTGTTACTAGATGTACTTTGGTTTACATCTTACTAGAAATACTTTGGTTTCCTCCTTTGTCTCCAGGACCCCCATCACCATTATTACCTACCATTGTCGTCTCCCCACCAACCATCACTAGGGTCACCTGCATTTCACCTACCACCATCTCTGCCAGTTCTGCCACCTGCCACCGTCATCACCTCCACCATGCACACCATGGTCTCCTTACCCAGTACCACCAGCACCACCAACACCATCCACACTTCTACCTCTAGCAGCCCTTTTAGCAGTGTAGTCCACAGCAGTGAGTGAAAACACACTGCTGTGGGCCAGGCTCCGTTGCACAGCACCACAAAGTACTCTGGACAAAGAACCAGACCTAGGGTGTTTGGGAAGGTCTCCTATTTGCCAGGTGTCCTCAGAATCTTACAGTTGCTAGTGGCAAGGCCCTCCGTGCTGAAAGATCAGATTTCTGTGCCCAGGAAAGAGATTAATTTCCTGTTTTCTTTCCAGCCAGATGTCCACCCTGGAAAGTGCTGGGCCTTTCCAGGTTCCCAGGGTCATATCTTGATCAAGCTAGCCAGGAAGATCATCCCGACAGCTGTTACCATGGAGCACATCTCAGAGAAGGTGTCCCCCTCAGGAAATACGTCGAGTGCACCGAAGGAGTTCTCTGTCTATGTGAGAAGCTGTCCAAACCTGTCACTCGGAATGGGTTGAGACAGAGGGTGTTGGACTGGGAAGGAGGAGCTAGACTCTTGTCTTTAGGGATTGAACCTAGGGCCTCTTGGCAGCTAAACTGGCTCTCTACTGCTGAGCTATCACCACCTCTGGATTCTGCTTTTAATGGTGCACTAACTTCTTGTGTGTCTTACTTTTAGGGCCTTTGGCTTGTCAGTTACAGACTGGGAGGATTGGACCAGATGATTTCTGTGTTTGACTTTACATTTTTACTTTAAAACTAAACTCCTAAAATGCTATTTACATAAACTATGTAATATACCTTCCTGTTTCTCCCTCCTCCCAATTTCTTTTTTTCTTTCTTTCTTTCTTTCTTCTTTCTTCCTTCTTTCCTTTCTTTCTTTCTTTCTTTCTTTTTTTCTGGTTTTGTTTTGTCTTGTTTTTTTGAGACAGGGCTTCTCTGTGTAGCTTTGTAAACCAGGGTGGCGTCGAACTCACAGACACCTGCATGTCTTTGCCTCTTGAGTGCTGGGATTAAAGGCATGTGCCACCATCCCTTGGCAGTTCCCAATTCTTTTTATCTCAAAGCTTCCATTAGCAGCAGTTTCAACTCTTATTGAAGTGCCTGCTTCCATATTTTCTTTTAACCATTATTTCATAATTTTTCAGTGTTTGATATTATATGATGACTCCCTCCAATGGAAGCTGAAAATCACATCTTTTCTGTGGCTCTGCCTATCTAATATCTTTGTCTTTATAAATTAGGTTTATAGAAATAGAATTCACATAGCATAGGACTCACCCACTTGAAGAGCATACTTCAGGGGTTCTAGTATATTCACAGTTCTGAATCTACCAACACAATTTTAGAACATTTTTGTTGCCTCCCAAAGGGACCTCATACTACTTAGTTTTCACCTCTCATCCCCATCACATCCCTAGCCCTTAGCAACCACTAATAGTCTCTGACTCATAAATTCATCTGTGTCAGACATTATCATTGTCATATTGTGTGTGCATTCTCCGGTGAATGATTAACACAGAACTTTCAAGGTTCAACTACATTTTAGTACTTGTCAATAGTTGGCTTCTTTTTGGAAGCAAAGAATAAATATCTGATTGCTTGTATTTTATTTATCCATTAGTTGGTAGACATCTAAGAGTCATTTATAGGGTTTGGGTTTTTATAAGTAATGGGACTGTGAATATTTGTGTGTAAGAGTCTACCACTGATGTGGGTTTTGTTTCTGTGAAATAGATATTGAATTTGAACTCCTAAGTCTGTGCTTCATGTCTGGGCAGGTGAAGAGGGAGTGATGCATGTCTTTTTTTGTTTGTTCCAGTCAGTGGTCAACATTTTCCTGGTGATTACTTGGCATTGTTGTCTGTTTCTTTATGGAAAACAATTTAAACATATGCAAAGGCATTTGCCGCCTGTTTGTCTCATTTGCTCACTTTGGTCCATTTCAATCTCTAATCCGTGCCAAGCTCTTCATCAGAGGTGCATATTCACCCATTGTTAATTCAAGTCAGATAAACTGGGTTTCCTTTGCCCTCCTCCCTTCCTGCCAGCCACCCCATGGGAGCTCTTCTACCCTTTGGCTCCAATCTGTTGATTGCTAGATGAGCCTGGTGCATGGCTGTCACTGTGGGGTCTCATTCTTGCATCCTGAAGTCTGTTTCTCATTTCCCTTTTCTGATTCATAGACCATCTCTGAAAGACTGCATCTATTTTCCTTTAATGCCTATGTAAAAATTTTCCTTTCTTCCATCATAATTTTACTCTCTAAGACTTTGAGTTCCGCAAACATTGCTTATTTAGAGTCCTTCGCGTTCACAGCATTGCCTTCTTTGCATCTGAAGATGCTAACTGATAGCAGAGTTTAGTTCTATCTTGTTTATTTCCAGGGTCTCTGTTGATCTTATAAGTTTGCCTTTCTTGAATGCTGTGATGCTCCTAGGAAGCTGGGCAGCACAGTCAATGCAGATGACTCTGCAAGAATTCCTGCATGTGGCAAGTATCAACCTGGTTGGTCTGCTAGGACCTGCAAGGGAGAAGAGCACAGGACAGACCTCAGCTGCACAACCAGCTGGCTCAGGAAGAGAGCTCTGGCAGGGGCTGGTGGGCAGGGATTGCCATGGACTGAGGACCCTCTTGGCTTGTTGAAATGAGTCAGCCAAGCCTCAGAACTGATTCCTTCCCCTCCCTGTCCTCTAGCATACCATGGCCCAGATCCCAAGCTTTTCTGGGCTTACAGCCTAGGTCCCTGTGGTGCTAGTTTCATCTCAAGCCACAGGAGTTTGTGTTTCCATCTGCTGCCCTTGGACCTTCCCCGTGGTTTCTGTCTGAGTCTGAGTGCCCACTCCCACTTTTCCTCGAAGGCTTAGGCCTTCTACCCTTTGATATTACTAGCTGGAGGATTCCCGTACCCACCAATGCTTCCAATTCCATGCTGCTGAAGCTTCCTGATTCCAGCCTCCAATGGCTCACATGCACTACAGTGTTGAGTTAGAGATGAGTTTCAGCAGGCCCTGCCTGTGTGAGTTTACTCACTACTGTTCCTTATTTGTAGGCACTCTGGCTGATTCCTCCAGGCAGCAGTCATTGAGCAACAACAAGTACTTCCCACTTTCTTTCTGGGTTACAGAATTGATGATCCAAGTGCTTCCTCTATTGCTTTTGGCCCTCGTACTTTGAAACAGGGTCTCCCACCAAATTGGAAACTTGCCGTTTTAGTGTCACCTTGCTGGACAGTGGGTTCTCGGATTCTATCTGTCTCTGACCGCAATGATGGGGTTACAGGCACAGGCAGCCTTGTTCACATTTTCTCATGGGAGCTGGGGACTTGAACACAAGTCTTCAAGCTTGCCCAAGCAGTCTTATCCACAGAGCCATCTCCCCAGCTCCAGCACATGCAATTTTAGGTGAACTGTTGCTACTTGAACACCTGCATTCAGTTCTTTCCACTGAGCTCCCACCCACTCCTTACAGTCTCCATACCTGTTGTTTTCTTTGCAGGGTATTATGAAAAAATGTGAAGGAGAAGAAATGTTCCTAGGTCAGTTTGTGTATAACAAAACAGAAACAACCATTCAAACATTCGAGCTCCAGGTAATAATCCACTGAGAAATGCTGTTATGTTGGCCTCATCACTAAGAGGGATTAGCTTAGAACTCCTGCCTGAGAATAACTATGGCTAGAGCAAAAGCTAAGAAAGGCTGTCATAATTCCAATCTTTGCTTCAAATGCTTACATGTATTTTAATGCACATCATTTAACTGTAACTCATTGGTGCACAATTAATTATAAGAGATGACTATTGTAAAAGCAATTTTTAACTCATTCTCACTTTCTACTACTTCCCCATGTACTGAGTTTCTCAGTCTTTATTTTAAGTAGTGCACCCAGCACAAGTACAGGAAACAATCTACCACATGAGCAATTCAGTTTGATAGTGACTGTCTCATCTGCCTTAAGTAAAGCTTTGAAGATGTTATATGATGTGGAAAGAGGGGGAAAGGAACTCAGTCAATATTTAATGACAGATAATATAGATAAAGCTTTCCTTTCTAAGCCAATGAGAGGAAACACGCACTGTTAACTGACAAACTCCCTAACATGCACTGAAGTATGTAACATATCTCTTCATTGTCTGTAGTTAGCCACAGGAATTGAAGGAGCTGAGAGATGTAGAAACTATCTCATATTATGTAAGGATAAATGTTTATGATACTTTTTGGTCGATAATGAAATTGATCCAAGTCCTCGCCACCAGCACCATCAAATACTCAAACAGCTCTTCATATACAATGATCTCACATACAGTCACAGTTCTTTACATGGAATGATCTCACACAGAGAATCACAGCTCTTCACAGGCAATGATCTCACACAGATAATCATAGCACATATACAAAAGTCTTTAGGACTGTACTAAGCAAGTAAAGATTTTCCTCATGAGTGTATATTAGACACTACAGTATAGAGATTTTTTTACATAGCATCTGCATGGTGTCCAAGATTATAAGACATCTTGAGATGATCTTAACTACACAGAAAGCTAACCCTGACTTCTATGCAAATATCATGCCATTTTATGTAGGGGACTTGGGAACACATGAATCTAGTATCAACAAGAAGTCCTGGAAGCCATCCTTTCAGATACCACAGGATGGATAACTGTTATAAAGTGACATATTTGTGGAGTTCTGTGCTTTATTTGAGTATTCATAAGACCCTTGATTCGTATTTAGCTTTGGGTTTTGTTGAGGTTGTATTTATTTTGGTTTTAACTGTTATTTTATGAAACCGGATCTTGTTTATGGTAGCTCAGGCTAGCCTTCAACTCATGTTTGTTCTACTTCAGCATTCAGGGTCTGGTTTTCATACAACTCTCCTTTCATTGGCACAGCAGTGAGTCTGAGGAGAGTCGACAGCAGTGAGAGCCACTGGCGTACTTAGACCTCCTGAATGCCTTCATGCCCCTATATTTATCTGTCCATGGGATCTTCCCTTCCAGTAGCTCTTTTCTCCATCTTTTAGAGCACTGTTTGAACAGACTTGTGTTAGGGAGGAAAGACGTTCCCACATCCCCCACATCAGTATTCACTGGGATTCTTCAAGAGAAACTCTCATAAGTCATTCATGTTTCCTTTGTTTCCAGAATGAAGCTTCTGAATCTTTGTTATGTGTGAAACTTCAAATCCTTAGCAACTGGGGACATCCAAAGTATACCTGTCTGTACAGATTCAGAGTCCATGGCATCCCCAGTGATCACACTTAGAGGAGCTGATGCAGAAGGCAGTGGCCAGAATGTCCAAGGATGCTTGCTATTCCCTTACATCAAATTGCACCTCTAAGAACTAAAGATATGGAGTGGGAGAGAAACCTCAAATTCATCTCTACTAGGCAGTAAGAAGTGAATGGATTTTACTAATAAAAAAAAAAAATGAATGTCAATTCAACACCCTTCGGGTAGTTGGCTTTGAGCATTAGGTGGTGAGTCTGTGTTTAGAAGAGGGTCTCACTGGGGAGCCGTCCTCACCACAACTTCTGCATTTCAGTTATTCATCCCCCACATGAGACACAACACCCACCATCACCACCACTAGCAACCCTGAGCTGTGGGCTATGGGCAGTTGGAGTGGGAACACCACAGGCAACTATTAGGTTAGAGATAAAAGTCAGCAGCAAGCTCATGGTTATTTGCAGATGATCTGATGGACTCCTCAGAATTCAGTATTGTCCTTTAAAAAAAATTACAAATGGAGGAAGAAGAAAACCATCTCTCCAAAACTGTCCTTTGACCTCTCACACTAAATAAATATAAATAAAAATAAACATAATATTTTTTAAAAAATACAAACAAGTAGAAACTGTAGCAATCCGTCAGCTGTGAAGCTGCTGTATGTAAATCAAATAAAATAAAAAAGATGATCAGATCAAGGGCATAATCTACAAAAGTCACAGCAAAGACCATAAGCATCAGGTAAAAGAAAGGAGAATGCATATGTGGGAAAGGCCCCATGCAACAGAATAAAGGGCAAGACTGGCTCAGCTGTGGAGACATCAATTCTCTCTAAACTAATTTAGAACTATAATGATCCCAATTAAAACCAGAAAGTTATGGTCATTATGGAGCAGTCATGAGACAGTAATGGATAATGGGGATCAGGTGCTCAGTGGCAGAGCATCTGCCTAGCTTGTATGAAGACCTGGGTTCCATCCCACCAGAGAAGCAAAGAGAATTATTGCTAGAAAATAATTCATAAGTATCTGTGTGAAAATGATATTACAATTTTGTTTGTAAAAGAATTATTTCTATGCAAAGAGGCTTAACACCTGGAATCCCAGCATTGGGGAAACAGAGGCAGGGAGTGTGGGTTTCAGGTTGGCCTTGTCTCAAACAAAAACCATGCCTTGGCCATCAGGATGGCTCAGCGAGTAACAGAGGCTACCAGATCTGGCAATGAGCATTTGATCCCTGGAACCCACACTGTGGAAAGAAAGAACCTACTCCTGAGACTAGTCCTATGATTTCCACAGGTACATCATGGCATGTAGACCAGGACATGAATGCCATGGTGTATGCTTGCGTGCGTGCACGCACACACGCATACAGACACATGTACACAGACACACTCACACACCACAAAATAAAAACATATAAAAATATGTTTACCATGCCACAATTTACCAAATGGTTCACTTTTTAAAAAGAAATGTTCTTTTTAAAGTACATTTTTAAATATTTACACGTGAAATGATGCGCTTTGGATCTGTTTTCAAGCACTGGGAGGAAAGAAAAGAAGTAGGAAGGTGGGAAAAGATGAGAGTGAAATCACCATTGAAGATACAGCTGCCCACACGGACTGTTATTCTCTTCTGTCTACAGATATTTCAGTGTTAAATTGTCTTTGGAAGAGCAAAAGATGCATGGTTTTAAAACTTCAAGAAGTGTGTTATAGACTAACTTGATTTTAAACTTCCTAACAATACATTTACTATTTTTTGTAATAGGAGTGCAGATATGTTTCCATCTTGTTTAATGTTTTGGCAATGTTGTTATTTATAAAATCATGAAAAAAAATCATTAGATGGAAAGTTCTGTGACAAAGGTAAAACAGTAGTTAGAACTGTCCAAGACTAGACTCACACCTATGTGGGAACTGGGTGGGCAGCAAGGTGTAAGCACCGAGCCTTAGTTTTCTCTACTGTTACAACAAACTCATAAGTTACAAGTAAAAGAGGTTGATTTCAGCTCACAGTTCTGGTAGTTTCTGAAGGATGCATTTTTCGGTGGCTTTCATCCATTTAGTTTCGAGACTCTAGATAATACATGGAAAGAGCAAGAAGCTTACAAGACCTAACCAAACTGGCTCCATGTCAGTCCACCTGGGTGGTAACCCATAATCCACTAATGATATAAATGGTTAATCACTACTTAGTGCTCTCACTCACGAATATAACAGGTATTGCAGGAGGGAGGAAACAAACCATATCCAAGGCATGGCACCTGTGAGCAAAACCAAGCAAATGGCTTGGAACAATTATCCAGCCATTAAGAAAACAAAATGGCTTCTTTATTTATTACTTTACAATGTGATAAGTCCCAAAATAGCATGGTAAAATATTTATAATATTTTATATTATATATTTATAAATATAATATTTATAATATGGTTAATGAAACCATAAAGGCCTTAATAAAACTGGGGCTAAGTCTTGTATGATATTGAATAGAGGAAGCTACAAAAGCATAAAAACTCTACATAAATAACAGGGTTGCAAATAAAACCTTAAGCAAGACGGAAACACATCTGCCACTCACATTACAAAGGTTAGTCTTTCTAAAATAGATACCCAAAGCAGCAACCCACAGTGGAAGTTCTGAGCAGTTAATGTCTGGAATGTTCAACCCAGGGGCACCTTTTCTGAGAATTCTGGTTCACACAGTCCACACCCACCAAATACTGGTCTCTTTCCTCCTTGGTTGGATGTGATTCTCCTTGAGTCTTCATCCCTCTGTACTTTGCATAATAGTTCTAGTGTACTGTACTAATGAAAACTTAAAAACATATGGGCTTTATTGAAGTGTTTTTATTTGACATCCAAAAGATGAGGAGTCGCTTGAACAACTTCTTAAGAAGAAACACACCCCTTCGATAAGAATAGTTCCCCAAAAGACATTCGCTAATGCCAATATCTCCAGTATGAGCTTTCACCTCACTGTTTTTTCATGTAAACAATAAATACTGACTTCCAAATTTGCTGTAGAACTGCTGAGCAATGTCACTTTCTTTTCCTCTGGGGCAGTTTTTTCCAACACTAACTGCTAACAAGCCTGCAAATGAGTCTGTTATCCCTCTGAGACTAGTGAAGATGATCAGGCATGTGACAGATACAACCACTCCAACTTTGGGCAACCCTTAGTGAAGACATGATGCTCAACTAGTTAGCAGCTCTAAAGATGTCACTCCCTGACCTCCAACTGTATATACTGAGTGACATTTTATACGTAACATATTTCCTTTCCTGAGATAAGATCAGGTAGGGTGTTTTACTTCTATATGTAAAAATAGCACCAACAGTGTTGTGTGGATCCTCGTGTGACTAAAGGACTAAACTTTTGAAGGCCTGAACTTTACAAAATCAAAAATCCATTTAGTACCTAGATGGAAAATAACAAGCAGGCACACAGGACTTCTGGAATTCTTTAGAGTGATTTCTTGAGAAAATCATTTGGAAAGAAAATATGGAAATGTTGGTATATTTAACTATCAATTCTGAAATCCTTGACTTTGCTTGCTAAATCTATTTAGCTTAATTGCAAGAATATGTAAGGTTAGTATTTTCTTCTAAGAAAAGATTGTCATAGCTTGCTTACATATTTGTTAAGCAAAACTTTATATGATTTGAGATTTATCAATAAGGAACATATGATCATTATACATCTTTTCTTAGGAATTAAAAAATTGTTTTGCCATTTTATTGCACAATATTGAGTAATTTAAAATAGAGATGGGATATAATAGCACACGGTTTACAAAGTTAATTTAAACACAGACCTTAGGAACTGGTGAAATGGTTCAGGTAAAACTCTTGCCTAAGACACAGGAAACCAAGTTCAAATCCTTGCTTTGAACATACAAAAAAAGTCAAATGGGGTTAGCAAACATTTGTAATCCTACAGTCCCTATGGTGATAAAAGAGGCAGAGATAGATGAATCCCCAGGAACTCAAGCTCCAGCTAGCCTGGGTATTTATCAGCTAACAGCAGAGATGCTGTCTCAAGCAAGGTGGAAGTGGGTACCAACACCAGAGATTGTCCTTTGACTTTCACATGAGCTCCAGTTCATGGATGACCCTGAGCACATGCATGTACACACAAACAGTACAGCCTTTAATCACAAAACCACAATATATATATATATATATATATATATATATATATATACATATATATATATCAATTACCTTATTTCATGTGACATTTGTTATTTCAAAATCAAGTTAAAATAAGGCAAGTTTTGTTGACATTCAGAATAATATCTAACATTTGGCTTGCCAACCACTTGTATGTCACCTAGAATTTAGCATATATATATATATATATACACTGTTTTTCACTTTATCAATAGTCTACACTATATGTTGTTTTATTAATATCTCAATTCTGTGTACTGAGTTAGAGACAGATTATATTTTTATTTGCTGTGTGTGTGAATGTGAGCATGCTCATGTCACAGTGCACATGTGAAGTCAGAGGACAATTTTTGGAATTACACCAAGGCCCAAACCCAGGCTTCATGGTAAACACTTTTACCTGCTGAGCCTTTGTGTGGACCCCAAAGACCTGGTTTTGTATTATTTTCGAAGGAATTTAAGAATATTGGGGTGTAGAGGTGGATATGAGGTATATTGGAAGAATGCTTACCTAGAATGTGGGGAGGCTGGGGAGTTTAAGCCCCAGTGCCATTTGAAAAATTTTATAGCTATAATCCTTGAAAAAACAAAGTGTTCTGAGTTAAAATTTCTTTTAAAACAATTCTAAGGACACTATATTAGAGGACTTTTGTTTGTTTATGGTACTGGGATTAATGCAAAGGTCATAATTGTGTTCAGCAAGTGTTCTACACACACACACACACACACACACACACACACACACACTTCTTTCATTTTCTTTCTTTCTAAAATGTATTTGTTGACATGTGTCACTAAGATGCCCAGGCAGGTCTCCAACCTCAGATCCTCTTGTCTAAGCACCCTCATTAATTACGGCTAATAAGAATTTGTTAGGCTCTGATGAGTCTATATTGATACAAAGTAGCAGAATTATCACTTCACATCCGTGGTCTTCAGTATCCTACCAATTAATGTGTTCAAAGTTTTAAAGCGTTTCAAACAATTTTCAAAACGACTACGTTGGCAGGTATCCAAGTGTTTTTCAGGAGGTGACTTGCCTGCACCGGGGTGTGAGAGTCCGGGTCGCCAAGGCTGCGGATGGAGGCTCCTCTCTGCCTTTGGCCAGGTGGGCGGACCTCTCCTGCCGCACCCGCTTAGCGGAACCTCTGTGCGCGCGCCCGCGTTTCCCCGCCGTGACGCAGGGGGAGGGACTTCTGTCCGCCTCCGGCTGAAGCCGCTGCGGGCCAGGAAACCGCCATGAAGTTTCGCGCCAAGATCGTGGACCTGGCCTGTCTGAATCACTTCACACGTGAGCTGGCAGGGCTGCGGGGAGCGAGCGGAGAGTGCGACTGCAGCCCTGTGAGAGGATGGGCGGGGTGGAGGGCGCAGCTGGGGCCGTAGGCTGGGAGGGCGGCCCTGAGGGGAAGGATGGCTATCACGGACCTTTCTTTACCTTTGCTGTCCTCCCTCACTCTTGCTTCCGCCGGGACTGTGCCTAACCTTGCTCGCAGGCAGTTCTGTTCTGCAGTACCCAGATGCCCCATTGGAATGTCCTCGATTGTCAGTCGTTCTCTGACTGTTTTCATTATTGCACACTGATGTTAAGGGCTGTGTGCCTCGCAAGATGTTAGCCGCGTTGAAGTCCTAGCGTGATCCATGAACTAGAAGTTGTGTAAGATGACCTGTAGGATACCCGATATGCTGCCTAGTAACTGCGTACTTTATCAACCCTTGCTACAGGGGTCAGTAACATGATAGCCAAGCTTGCCAAAACCTGCACCCTCCGCATCAGCCCGGAGAAGCTGAACTTCATCCTTTCGGACAAGTTGGCCAGTGGTGGGGTGAGCATGTGGTGTGAGCTGGAGCAGGTGAGCAGGAACTCCCAGAGGCCCCGGGCTCCCGCAGGAATGCTGAAAAGGCCCTAAATGCCTGTTTCTGTCCTGCAGGAGAACATTTTTAGTGAATTTCAAATGGAAGGAGTCTCTGTAGAAAACAATGCGATTTATTTAGAATTAACATCAGAAAACTTATCCAGAGCCTTGAAGACTGCCCAGAACGCCAGAGCCTTGAAAATCAAGCTGACTAACAAACACTTTCCCTGTCTTACCGTGTCTGTAGAGCTGGTAAGTAGAAGGAATTTCTGATTTATTTTTTTACAAGTCCCTTGTTTTGGTCTAGGAAGTATAAGTATAAGCTATAAGCCTGAACTCTCAAACAGTATTCTTGGAAGAGAATTGGTTTCATTTGAAATATAAGATCTAGTCCAACATCGTGGCAGAGACAGGAAGATCTCTATGAGTTCCAGGACTACATAGACGCCCTGTCTCAAAATAAAATATACAGTCTTACACCAGAGATTGTCCTTTGACTTTCACATGCTTTTTCCAAACAGTCAAATTGCTAGCTCAAATCTCTTTCTTTCAGGGTGTTGTCAACTTGTCTAGATGTTTTTATCCATTTTCATCTTAAAATCTCCCCCTCCTGTCTCATTATCTGCAATATTCTTAAATAAACAGTCATCAGACTTACCACAGTTGTCTGTCTTAGATGCTACTACTAAATGAGTTTAGTGAACAGCCTCTCCTCAGAACACACAAAAACACATGTTCAAAATGGAATTTGTAATTCCTAACATGTTCATAGCCTTTCACATATAGTCCAAACTATCTTGAAGCCCAATCATAAATTACTCCCGTCTGAGTTGTTCTCTGTATATGTCATTTTTTCCCCAACTCCCAGACTGGTGATATCAATTGGACTAGCTACATGGAGTTTCTCTCCAAAGCTTTGCCTTTCTTTAGTGCTCTGCCCCATCTAGGCTGCCATTTTCTTTTTAACTTTCCTTTCTTATATGTGCTCTTCACATCTATGGGTGTGTGTTGCATTTGTTTTCAAGCTGGCTATAGCAGTTAACTCATGACTTCATAACGTTTTATGTGTTCTTAAAGCTAACTAGAGCATTCCATGTAACTATAAGTTTAAGTTTATTTAGTTTCTTAAGGAAAATATACACTGCTTTTCTAAGTAAGAATGCAAGATACTTTGGTTTCTTTTTTGTTGTTTTGGAACAGGGTCCTACTATGTAGCTCAGGTTGACTTAGAATTGACTATGTAGACCAGGCTGGCCTCAAACTTACAGAGATCCACTTGCCTCTGCCTCCTGGGTGCCACTGTACCCGGTGATACTTTGGTTTCTAAGCTTTAGAGATGCTTCTAGAAATAAACGTGGTCTATCCTTTTAGTGGAGCAGAAGCTATAGCACACCGAGGGTGTGGCACACAATGGCATCTAGCTTGCCTTGGCCCAGCAGCTTTGCCCCTTTCTTTCTGTCTCCTGGGTCTGTGAATGCTGATACTGCTCCTCTGCCTAAAACCCTGCCCCCTCATCTTCAACTTCTCAGAGGCTGTCTGCCTCTCTAGTTTTGATGTCCTCTGAAGCATCGCCCCAGAGGGTTGTTCCTTCACTCGCCTCTGGTAGCTCTCCCTCAGTCAGCCTCATCATGTGCTTCCTTCGGGCTCGGATAGAATATCTGGTCCAGCTCTGGTCGCTTGCTTTCTATTTGCTCCACTGGGGCCCTCTTGTCTCATTCACTAAATCCTCAGAGCCTTACAGGACCAAAAGCAGAACAGATATACTACACCAGCAGTGTGGGCTGAATGGGTTTTGAGAGGATAAATAAAGAACATTCCATTTAGAATTCAGAAAGCTTAGCATTGACAACATAAACTATTATAACTCTTTTCTTAGCAGTTGTCCTCATCAAGCAGCAGTAGAATTGTGACACATGATATCCCCATAAAGGTTATTCCTAGAAGATTGTGGAAGGACTTACAAGAACCGTCTGTCCCAGACTCTGATGTAAGTGTTGTCTGTAGTCCTGTTGTTCAACACACAATGAAGGGCAAGAATTGAATTCTCCAGTACTAGTTGTCGTCTTGCAGTGTATTGTGTTTGGGGTGGGTAGTTTCCAAAAAGAATGTGAATCAATTAACAAGACTCCAGATGTGAGTATGTGCCTTTTGCTATATGTGTAAATCCTGTTAAAGAACTTCTGTCCATTTAGAAATGCCATACTTTCCATGCAGGAGTTCAGTTAACTGAGCCTTGCTCAGTTAACCCAAGTTATCCTTTGGAAGATATTCTATATTTACTATGACTCTTGACCTTAGGCACAAACTCATGTTTCATAGACCTTGATGAAAGAGAAAGAAAAAGCATTTTTGTTGACTTAGAGCTTAGGTTAACAGTGACCTTCTAGAACCTAAGCACCATTGCAAATAAAGAAGATGCCAAATGGTCCTTTGTCTCTTGCATATGTATAAAGAAATTAAACAGATACTGGATGAAATGTGTAGTTGACTAGAAGGTGTCTATGTAGGGTTGGAAAAAGCCAGCGTTACATAAAGCACTGTTAGTAACATAGCTCAAATGGGTTGTGATAATGGCTGGCTGTACTGTTACACAGAGTACACAGAAAGCCCCTGAGTCCTGTAAAACATTTCCCAGAGGAAGGCTTCTTGCTCAGCACTTAAGGTGTATTCCCCTTGGATCTGTATATAGGTATCTCAGCTGAAGGACTGTGTTCCTTCTTGAATGAGAAGAATGCTCTTGAGAGTATGGTCGCCATGGTAACCAGAACCAAGTATCCAGGTATCTTTATTTGCCTGAATAAGTTAGTGAAATTTTCAAAGTTTTAAAGGGACTTTAAAAATTTGATTCTGAGTTTTTAAATGCACTTCACAGTTGTTGGTTGAGTACCTGTCATTGTAGACTGTATTAAGATTTCTGACCCTTGTGATTGCTTCCTGGTTTCTAGGTCAGTATTTACTTGCCAGCCTTGAAGACTATGAAGAGTGTTGTAGAAAAAATGAAAAACATCAGTAATCAACTGGTAAGTGATTACTCCTTCAGAACAGAGTGAATTCATGCCGTGCTGTGGGTGGCTTGTCTTGGGAGGCAGCTTCACTGTTGACCCAGGTGTGGGGGTGCTCCTTGACACCATGAGGTGTCTCGGGTAGTGGGTTTCTCTCACTGAGGCTCCACTGGGGAGGACAGAGCTCAGTGTTGAGATCTGGCCTTTAGGGACCTGTTCTAATGCCTTTCAGCTCTTACTCACTGGGGAAAGCTTTCAAACTTGCTCTTAATCCCTTCAGGAGCATGTTTCAACATACGCTATTTTGTATCTTGTAATTTGGACAGAACACTTTTTGTTGGTCTCCTATTTGATGCTGAGGAACTGAGTGGAAGGCTTCATGTAAACTAAGCACACGTCCTACCACTGTGCTGAGTGAATAGTCGAAGGCCTGGTACCTTTCGCATGTTAAAATGCATGAGCACTTTATATACTAACATACAAATGGACCCCCTTATTTCTCTATATATTTTTGAAGGTCCAAAACATCACAACGGCGATGGAGAATTATGTGGATTATTATTCACACATGGATGTATTATGGATTCCAGCTTTACGCCTTAAAGCCATATTCCATTATGTTCCTGAATTTTTTAAAGCCACTGCCTACCCAATACACAAACCTTTAACTCTCCTAACCCCAAGGCCTCATCTCTGGTAGCCAGGCAGGCCCTCCTGGCTGATCCATACCAGGCTGGCCATGTTGCCTACAGGAAACTGCCTGCACTATACTTCTCTCCAGCAGGCCTGTAGATCCACCATTGCCTTGGAATCTCCAGAACTGCACGCTTCCAGGAAGGGAATCCTTTCTGAATTTCTGTTTCAGAGTTCAGAGTCCAACTGTCACTCAGTAGTTCATAACTGATGCATTGTTGCATGGATGGGAGTAACCTTTAGCTCCTAGGAATCTTTGCATCACAAAAAGATTTTGAAACCTAGAAAAGTGGGGATGGGGGTTGGTAGTGTTGTTTTTCTCTTGAGTCCTCACTTCAGAGCAGTGCTGTCACTGAGCCTGACTTAGTCTTTGTAGCTGCCATGTGAATCAAAAATCAGCTTCCCTTGAGTCGCACGCACTGTGCTGGCGGTGGTGTTCACTGCCACTCCCACGGTGCTGATCTAGTTGTCAGGCTGGCTTCCTCTAAGGTACCCTGGGGCTTCCTCTAAGGTACCCTGGGGTTTCTAGGAGGTTCAGGAGGCCCAGAGAGACAAGTGGGGCACTTAATTGAGGGAGCCATTTGCTTGTTCTTTGGGTTCCATGGAAGTGAGTCAGCAAAGTGGAGAGTGAGAAGTGAGCAGTGGGGGCTGTGGCCATTGTTTCTCTTCTGGAGTGCCCAACAAATGCTGACTGGGAAGTTATCGAGCTAGAATAGCCAAATGCATACGAGCTCTCTGTGGGTACCCGGGGATTCTAAAGAACTAAGTAGGTGGCTCCAGGGGAGGCTACCTTGTAAAACAAAGACCTTACAAAGTTAGGCAACTATCTTGATCCCTTTCCACATTTATACTGAAATCTCCTGACTGCAGCATCAGACTATCAGTAAAGGGTCATGACTGAGTCCTGTGCAAAGACACTGCATAAAAGATGGGTGAGGTCTGGATTCAGGAGGGGGTAGGGCCACTGTTGCCTTGCCAGGACAAAGAGCTGGAGCTATGCTGGTATCTGGTCTGGCCTCAGTGCTCACAGAACAGCTTTGAGGAGAGGACTCAGGGCTCTGATACTCATTTTTCCCCCACAAGATCCTCTCTTCAGCTCCTCTTCTCCCTGCCCTAGAACTATTGCCACAGGCCATGGGAGTCGCTTTTCTTTTTAAGCTATCACCCTGCCCATCATATTGGTTCTTTTATCTGGAAAGAGATTTGCCAGCCTGTGGGTGGCACACTGCATTTCTGGTTTGGTTGTTGGGTTTGGGTCTACAGAAAGGCCACATGCTGTCTGTGGTCAGCAGTCTGCCAGCCAGTAACACAAACATGCTACCTAACCTGGAAGGGGGAGGTAGGCATCCGTGTCAGTAGGACCATCCTCTGGGCATTGCAGGCTGACGACCCTAAGTCAGTGAGAGGAAAGGAAGTCACCCTGCCGCACAGCTCAGTTGTCATGCTGTAGTTTAAGATATGCAATATTAGCATGCCCTGAAAACTGGTCAGCATACGGTGTCCCTCCCCCATGCTTTTTTGTAAAATTTCTGAACTCCAAATCTTCCTCATTCTAGAAACAAAACAAGATAGGTTCTTTGAACTTAGATGTGTTCTTATTTTTGAACTCCTGCCATTATACACTGACTTCCTCAAGCTCACAGCCTTTAATCTAGTAACTTCCTTGGAACAAAAGCTTTCATGTGGAGAGTTCTTCCAATAACCCTCAGCTACTTATTAACCTACTGTCCTATGATCCAGAACAAGTGACCAAAACAGAATGTAGACAGCAACGTGCGTGAATGTTCTGGGGTACTCACTGGAGCTCTATAAAGCTCATGGGTGGCCTGTGCCCATTGGCTTGCAACAACTGTGTGTGCTAACACCTGGAAATTTGATTGCTTCTGATTTATTTATTAGACATAAATATCTCACCAGGCATTGGTGGTTCATGCCTTTGATCCCAGCTTTCAGGAGGCAGATCTCAGTGAGTTGGAGGACAGCCTGGTCTACAGAGGGAGTTCCAGGATAGCCAGACTGGTGCCTCCAGAGCCCTGATCCTTGGCAGAGTGTCTCAGCAAGGTCCCTCCTACTTAGCCCTACTGAGTTCTTACTGGGGGCACCTTCTTGGTTTTCGGGATTTCAGAGTTCTCTCTGTGGTTGGTACCTGTAGTGAGATAGTTTTGTGGCACTGCGTTAGGTACCCTGGTGGCTTCAGTGCCCTGTGAGGTGTTAGGTTTGTGTGCCTTGTTACCTGGCTTTTGTGGAAGTTGGTACCCACGTGTTGTTGTTTTCCCTCTTTTCAATATTGAATTCTATTCAATTTGCAGGTTATTGAAGCAAACCTAAATGGAGAACTGAACCTAAAGATAGAAACTGAGTTGGTATGTGTGACAACTCATTTTAAGGATCTTGGAAACCCTATATTACGTAAGTTTTCTTATAGGTTATATTTTGCTACTAATAAATAAATTGTTTCAATATATATATTGAGTTCTCTTAATGAAAACATTGAAATTTGGTTTTCTTTGTTTCACATTTGAGAAGGGGCTGAGATTAGATTTCCTGTCCCTGTGACATAATAGGACAGTTAGCACTAGCCCAGCAGACATTGAGGATGTGCAAAAGGATACTTCTCTCCTCTGGGATTCAGGTCACAAACAGTGGCTTCCAAGAACTCAATAACTCTTTGTAGTTGGCATTTTCTTTGGGTTGCCAACCAGCTCCCAAATAAAGACATGGAGACTTACTAGTAATTGTGAATACTCAGCCTTAGCTTACTAGGCTTGTCCCATTAGATCTTTTAACTTAATTTAACCTGTTTCTAGTCATCTTCAGGCCTTTTTACTGTTCTTTCATTCTGTATGTCCCACTTTCTTGCTTCTTCTATGTCTAGATGGCTGGCCGGCCGGACCCTGGCATCTCTTTTTCTTCCCTGAGCATAATTCTTCCTCCTACTTACTCTCCCTGCCTATACCTCTTCCCTTACTATTGGCCATTCAGCTTTTTATTAGACCAGTCAAGTGCCTTAGGCAGGCAAGGTAAAACAACAACACATCTTTAAACAAATGCAACACATCTTTACATAGTTAAGCAAATATTCCACAGCAGCTCTTCACTTGTCGCTTTGCTCTGAAAGGTTTAGATTCTCATTTGGATTGGAGCCAAAGGTTCTGTTTCTTACCAGTAAAGTTCGATGGGCAAACAAATGTGACTCAGATGAACTTGGTCACACATTTCACCTCATAAAGGTCAGGCGGGAATGTGAAGTCAGTTCAGTAAGCCTTGAAGGAAGGGGTGCTTTGCAGCTTGGTGAAAACAGTGAGTCCAAATTAGACTCCTCCTCAAACAGGGAAGTGGCCAGAGGGCCAGAGAAAAAATATTGTCAAACAGGTAACTCCATCACTTTCAGAGCTACAATTGGTTATTGAAGGTTTGCTTCCTCGGAGGCACAGATATTCCATAGCCCTGAAAGAAACATTCCCTTTGTAGTGAGAATCACATTGCTCCAGCAGAGTGAAATCCACAGCACCAAGGCTGTGTGTGGTGTGTGAAATGACCTTGGTTTTCTTGATGCTGTTTGTTCGTGGTATTTATTGAGTTGAGAGCCTCTATGCTACATCCCCAGCCCTGACATGAGTTATTTTGGTGTCAGTCATTTTGTTTCTTGAGCACAAAGCAGGTTATCAGTACTTGAAAGGTTAATTTCTGTTTTTGTTTTTGTTTTTTTGTTATTGTTCTACTATGTGGAGTGAGACATCTGGCATTAGCCATCTGCATTTCAACTTTTGAATTCATACTGAACTACAATTTTCTTTTGTGCAAACAGGTGACTGAGTGTACTTCAAGACCTTTTAAGTGAAGCTCCTCTAAAAGTTACAATATCTTAAACAGTTCAAATGCCTGCTGAATGAGAAACATTTACAAGTTGTGGTCCACTAGGTTGCTAAAAGGAGCTGTAGAGTTGTGGAGTTAATAAATAAATACCCATTGCACTTTTCTGAGTTCTTGTTATGTCCAGAGATGTTGGATTAAAAAAAAAAAAATTGCATGTCATTTCAGCCTCTGAGAGTGTCTCTCAAAGCAGACACCCAGAAGACATGGCCGAGGTGCACATCGACATAAAGAAACTCCTCCAGTTCCTTGCAGGACAGCAAGTGACTCCCACCAAGGCTGTGTGCAGTGAGTTTGCTTTTCCCATTTCTCACCTCTAGTCTAATATGCATACAGTCTTTAAATGCAAATTTAGTTTTCTGGACAGTCAGATTGTAAAGTTTCCTTGAGCTAGAAGAAGATGCTGAAGAGTGATGGTGAGCAGTGTGGTTCCAGAAAGCCAGTAGCCATGCTGGACTGGCAGTGGGCTCCGCCTGTGATACTGTCTGCACACCATCTGAGTTTATCCCATTTTACATGCTCGGAGCCCTAGATCTGAGTTTCAGCTTGAGCCCTTTCCTTTCCTTTCATGCCCACCTGACCTATGCTCACTACCAAAGTCTCTTCGGTTCTTGGTTTGGGCCCCATCCTGGCTCTGGCTATTCACTGCCCTGTACTGCCCTCTTCACCTGCTTTCCCCCGCTGAGCTAGGAGGTTCATCAAGAGCTTCTCAAGGCTCATTGTCTCCTTGTTTTGTTTTGAAAAAGGCATAACAAATGGCCTAGGTGTGACATCCCTCCCTTTGTGGAAAGTTCCCAGGATGACTTCTCATCCATGAAGCTGAGGAAGATGACCTGGGACTAGACAATATAGTAATAGAATGTAAAGTTCTGGATGGCTCAGTCAAGGACCAACCTTTCCAAAAGAGGAAAGGGATGTGTCATAGTTAGGGTTTCTATTTCTGTGATGAAACACCATGCCCAAAAGCAGCTTAGAGAGGAAAGGGTTATTCAGCTTACACTTCTATATCACTGTTCATCGCCAAAGGAAATCAAGACAGGAGCTCAAGCAGGGCTGGAACCTGGAAGCAGGAGCTAATGCAGAGGCCATGGAGGGGTGCTGCTTACTGGCTTGCTTACCATGGCTTGCTCAGCCTGCCCTCCTATAGAACCCAGGACCACCTGCCCAGGGATGGCCCCACCCACAACGGACTGGGCCCTTCCCTTTCAATCACTAATGAAGAAAATGTTCTCTTGAGGTTTGCCTGCAGCCAAGTCTTACTGAGGCATTTTCTCAGTTGAGGCTCCCCTCTCTCTGGTGACTAACTTGGGTCAAATTCACATAAAACTAGTCATCACAGGGTGAGAAACCACAGAAGAGACTACGTGAAGACACAGGGAAGGTTCTGGTGGTGTGTGGTATAGCTTATCACAGTGCTCAGGACCACAAGTACTCAGACCTCCATATACTTTGGTCACCTTGCTGTGGGTACCTGCCTTTACCAGGAAGGCTAATTTTAGTTAAATCAGCATGATTTTCCCCCTAAAACCTGGGCAGCTTCATTCTTCATCTCTCACACTGTCCCCAGTGGGTGGCAGTAGCATATGCTGTGACCCCTCGTGAGCCCCTCAGAGGGAACAGACACCAAGCATAGAAGGTGTCCACAGCAGGCAGGCGCTTGTGATAAGTAAGGATGAAAGCTGTCTTTAACATCTGGGTCTTTTTCTCCTAGATATTGTGAGTAACAGAATTGTTCATTTCGACTTGCTTCTGGAAGATATCTCCCTTCAGTATTTCATCCCAGCCTTGTCCTAGCACCATGACAGCCGACTTGGCAGCACAGAGACCTTTGTTGTGACCATAGAAGCACTGGATGGTGTCAGCTGTCTGTCCTCACAGCACCACAGACTTGTACTGGCTATCTCTCCCAATGCTGCTTGAAGCAGAGACAGAATTAATGAAGGAAGCACAGCTGTATAATCATTTCTTCATATTACTCAAGACCAGCACCTATCCCTTCTCCCCTGGATCTGAGACATTAAGAAGAAAAGATAGAATTTATTTTTATAGGGTCTTGTTGTTTTGTTTGCCTCTGGTGCTTGAGATGAGAACAGGGCCTTATGTGTGCTGAGCACCTGCTCTGCACTGAGTGCTAAGCACCAGCCCTATCTAAAGTGTGGCTACCAGATTGCAAAAGTCATCATATGTCTAGAACTGGTGTTGCAGTCATAATTCACGGGCTTACTACCCAACTAGTTTCCTGCTCGGTCCCCAGTATAGTGCAGCTGTCTGCTTTTGGTCTTTAGCATGCTCACCTCTCCGACCCCCCAAGCCTGGGCACTCGGTGCAAACTGGACAGCCCCTCTGTCCCCGGCAGCATGCCGGGTTTCTCACCACACTTTGAGCATACAGCTACAGCATGTGGAGCCTTGCCCAACTTACTGAAGATTCAAGTTCACTTCCTTCTCACTGCCTGCAGAGCCTCACAGCCTGGGGAACCTGCAGAGCCAGAGAGCCTGAAGGCCAGCCCAGCCAATCCACTTCCCATCTTGAACTTGTCCTTCTGTGTACTTTCTGCCTGAGCCCACTTTGGTTTTAGGTTATAACTTATTTTAACTCTTTTGTAGTGCTCAAGGTCAAACCCAGGACTGGGTACATGCTAGGTAAGCACTCTACGCGCCAATCTATATCCCCAGTCATTTAAATCATAGTTTTGTGTAATTCTCTAAAGCTCATGGTGTTTTGCATAACGCAGTTGAAGCTTGGCCATCATGGGTGAGGCTGTGTTCTGCTCCTGCATTGGGGCTGGCTCACCCTGGAGGGTGTGCTTTCTCCAAAAACAACACGGCAGGCTTCCTGTTTGAACTAGGTGTCGGGTGTCCCATGAAGTGGCATCAGAACTGTTTTCATGTCACAGAGTCAGGGCCTAAGTTGCCTAGGATAAGATTTGAAAAGGGGTGGGGGAGGATAAAACAAAGTAAAGCATTTTTTTTTTTTTTTTTTTTTGGCTTTTTCATATTATTTAGGGAAAATACTATTTCTCAAGTGCTGCTAGGATTATTTGTTGCTGTTTCCATTTTTATTAGACAGGTTGTCTTGTGGTTCAAGCTGTAGCCAAGATTGACCTTGAACTCCTGAGCCTCCTACTCCCAAGCGCTGAGATGACAGATGTGAGCCACCACACCTCTGGCTCTATTGATATCTAATAAGATATATTTAGTTAAACTAACTTTTTTTAAATTAGGGATTCTTTAATTGTTAAAGCATTTCTCTCTTCTTTGGCCTATAATGAAAGGGCAGTCCAGGTGCCTTGATAAAGCCTCAAAATCATGATGCAAATGAAATTCCAGGAAGTTCCCTTTGAAGCTTGTTTACCTGTCAAACTGTCATTGCCTCACTAGTCATGAATGTCACCGCCGTGCCGCATACTGATGGCCATGACTTTGCTTGGTAACAACATGGGAGAGAAGGCAGTCAAGAGGCTGTCGTCTTTCTGGTTCTTGTCACAACTCTCTGTATAGTGTTTATAGCTTGTATCTCACAGAGTTGTAGTCAAGGGAGGGGGCTCGGAGTGGGGTTATGGGAACTCGAGCTGTTTTGTGGAACCCCATCCTGAGGTGAGCCTGGGTGAGAGCAGAGAAGTTTGGCTGTGTGTAGAAGGAGCCTGGTGTCTGAGGTTTGGAGATGCATTTTCCCTTACTCTGATCACTAAGACTTGGAGCTTGAAGAATGCTTTCCTGAATGTTAGAACCATTAAGATACCCTGACCATGCCTGCCAGGGCTCACAACCCACACATCCCTGGGAGCCATGTCTTGAACTGAGATTTAAGACTGTCCTAAGACAGATCGGGGATGCAGCCACTTGTGCCAATGTCCAGGCGGCCTTGTTATCCTGTGGCCCTGTCCTGGTGCAGCAGGGACCTTCCTACCCATCAGGTCTCCAGACTGAGTGTGTCCTGCCCTGCATCCTGCCACAAAGAAACCTGCTCTTAGAAACCTGAGAGGCAGTTCTACATTAGTCTTGAGGCAGGAATACTGGTTCTTTCACCAGTTGCAGTGGCCGATGACATCTTGGTAAATGTCATCCAGTTGGCAGAGTATCTGCTGTGGTGGATACAATTCTGTGCTTTTTTATTTTAAAGCCTTTATTGGGATATCAGAGTGTGCAGCCTAGGGGTTCTTTTTGATGGTTCACTAATGCAGTCATTCCCCACCTTTCACTCTGCCTCCTCTCCTGGAAAACCAGCTATTTTGTTTGTTCTGGCCAGTTTTCTAACCTCCTCCCCAAGCCTCTGGTAACCACCATCCTTTAAATATTGCTCTGAGGGCCCAGTAGGAGATTCTTGACCCTTATAGTTCTGGATCAGCATCTGTATATTGAATACATAATTCAGCCTTCATAACATGGCTTTTGCCCATGGCCATGCTTGTATAGTATGTCTGTCTAGAATTTGCACACACTGCATCCATTGCAAAGCTCGATGGCATTGCCGTTTCTACAAGAGTGGGCTCCCAGCATTCACACTTTTTTTTGCTGTGAGGCTGGTCCCGTTTCTTCATTCTAACGGCCTTGAGTATGTTGTCTCTGCTTACACTATCCCATGTGAAGAGACTAGATCTAAGCAGGCCTCCTACGAAGACTTAGAATGGAGGAGCCAGATGCCCAGTTCCCATCTATTATTTTTCCACTGTAGAATCAAATATAGGGGATTTCTCCATGTGTGGCCCTGTGAACTTGGAAAAGCAGCCTCATAGTTACCCTGATGAACTGTCCACTCATGGTTTTTATTTCTCTGTGGCCCAATGGGTGCCATAGCCTCACTCTGGATTTGGGGGAATTCAGGGTGGTAATCTTGTTACTAGAAAGTTACTAGTTGGAATTATGTGAGGACATGGAGAAGGCATAGATCTCTACCACCATTTTGCTAATTCCACACTCCAATTCTGTTCTTTTATGTGGCTTCTGGTGGAGAATCTAAAAGAGAGCTTGAGTTTGTAGATTTTTCTTTAAGAGCAGCGTTCAGCTAAGAGATGATAAATTAGGGTCACTTGGACATTGCAGGGGCCGGGTGTTAGTACCACTTCCTGGGGTGCCATTTGCTATTTACTCTCCGTGTGAAAGATGAAACGGCCCCCTAAGACTTGTTATACAGACTATCATCAAAGCTGAGTACTGCTATAAACTAAGGATTTCTTAATGTGAACGGCTAGGGAATTGGTAGATGATCCGTGCTGTGATGTCACTTCCTAATGCTACAGGACAAAGTACTGTGCGTGGTAACAGCCAGTGGGATGTTGGTGTTCAGTGTGACAAAGAAGGCCAGGAAGCAAACATCTAGACCCAGCCAGCTCTGGGTGGTTTTTATTTCAATCTCTACATTTGTGTATTTTCTAACAATTTTTATAACCAACTTTGTAATGAAACTATTTTTATAGAATTAAATATTTATTATTTGACTATTACTTGGAATTTATTTGTTTATTAATACACATACATATTCATCTGGCAACTTTAATTTCCTGAACATTATATTTTAGGCTTAATTTTGACAGCACATGCTTACTTATTACAATGGGAAGTTAGACTTTTTGCCATGTTGAAATTATATTGGGTTCAGAGTACTGGAACCTGGATTAATAAGGCCATTTTACATGAAAAAATTTCTTATGGGCCCAATGTGAATAAATCCAACATGAACAAGTTAGCTTTCCTTCATTGTGACAAAATGTCTGAGATAATCAGCTTTTAAAGAAGAAAGTTTGGGGCCGATAAGATGGCTCAGTTGGTAAGAGTGCTTGCTGCTAACTAAGCCTGATTATCTGAGTTTGAACCCACAACCCACAGTGTAGAAGGGGAGAACCAACTTCTCAGTAAGTTATCCTCTGATGTCTGTGTGTATGTGTGTGTGTAATGGCATGCATGCATTTGCACAAAGACATATACACAAATAAATGCAATTTACCTGCTAGGCAAAAAGAGGGAAGTTGAAACATCAATATTCCTTTCAAGGACACATTTCCAGTAACTAGTGTCCGTCCATGAGTCCATGAAGCCCCACATCTTACATGTCCCTCCACACCCATGCAGCTGAAGACTTTGTGGGGCAACCAAAGTCTAACCTGTGTTTTAACTGAAGCACAGTGTCTAACCCATTCTGCAGAGGAGACTGAGCACTTTAGTAAGGGTTTTTTTTTTTTGTCTATGCATTTTGAGAGAAAGCAGCTAAACCAAAATTCCTTACAAATCACTGGGCAATCAATAAGAAGCCCAGGGACAATGGGACAAAGATAAGCCACCTGCCTGGAGTCAAAGTCCCTATTGTTGAAAGCACTCTGAATAACACTGAATTAGACTGTAGCACCCCAGGCTAAGACCTGCCTCTTCCCGGCACCCAATCCTGGACAATCAGTGGCCTCCTAAGGGGCCATCAGCAGGTGACTGGAGTTAAAGAAAAGGCAGCACTTGGGCCCATTTCTAAATTAAAAGGCAAATGTTGGCACTTACAAGTGCTTGCTTTATAAGCAAGTGAACCCCAGAAATTGACCTTGTCTCCAGGGGAGTGATGGCCGCGAATTCCCAACAACACAGGGTGCAAAAGTGCTTTGCTCATGAGTATCGAATAGTATAGGCAAGGGACTCCAGTGAAACCTACTGCTCTGCAGCTCAGAGGTTTGGACAGTGTGTCCATTACACCATGACACCATTGGATTACCATAGGGCCCTCTACCCAGATAGCCTCTGTTCCTATAAGGGTTGCTTATAGGCTTAAGTTTTCAGAGACTCTGTGTGTAAACACCCTAAGTGTCCTTACAGAGACAACATCCTATAGAGCTTGTCCTGTGAGGTACCCTGCCTGAAGGGGAAAAATACAGATGTGCAGACAGTAGCTAGAGTCCGAATGAATTGAGTTTCTGCCCTGGGTTTCTGTGCTTTTATCTGTTTCCTTCGTGCTTCGCAAATGACTGCAAAGGAGTCAGAGGGTGTAAGGAACCCTCATAGGTGGACAGCACAGGGCCGATGCCTCCTTCCTGAGGTCCCACTCCATGTTCATGCTGGGGCTTCACC